TCTAAAAAGACCTTGATCTGTGGGTGGCCACACTGAGGCACATACCACGAAGAGCTTCACTGTCCGAATTCTGCAGCTCATGGAGCTTGTAATTCTTACCCTTAACTGAGTCCTAGTTTACAGTAAGGCACAGAAGCAGGTCCGACTGGCTTTCTCCAGCTAGTTGGCAACCCTGCAACACTTTGGGAGCAGGAAAAAAACACAAAAGGAAGAGAATTACTCTCTTTCAAAATATTATTCAAATCAGAACCAAAATATTATTCCAGTCCAGTCAGAGGAATGCTTGGGGACTGCACTTTGGGGGGGGGGGAGGACAAAGAGTTTGGAATGGAGCCAAGGGGAACAGGCAGGTCCAAAAATTCCCCAAAGGGACAGCATATTTTAGTCTCAAGTGATCTTGGTGCCAGTGGCTAATCCTTAAGAACCAGGGCAGGCAGGGGGCTGCAGGGAAGCCAGGAAACCACAAAACCATTGGTGCTTGAGGAAAAAGGGGTGAGAACAGGAGAATGGAATGTGTCTTTCTGGGCACCTGCGATGGGCTGGATTTGGCCTTCTGTGCCCGAGACTCCACACTCCTGATCTAAGTAGATCTACAGAAGAGAGTCATTGACAGCAGACCGAATACTGAAAACGCCGTGATATCATCCCCTTTGGATCTGGTGTCAACAGGAACCAGGATCTGTCGGTTACTTGCTTAGACATCAAAAAGGCCAAGCTAAACTTTAACTAAGTCCCTTCATCTTGGTGTTGTTCCCCTCTGCTTAGAGTAGACTGGTGGCAGTTTGCTCCTTTCGATATCGAAGTGCTTATCAGAAACCTCCTCCCCAGCCAGCTGGGTTTCCTTCCCTGGCAAGAGGCAACCCTTTTCATGCCGGCCCAGTGTTGTTTCTGTGTAATTCTCAAAACATCACTGCTGCATTATGCAAGTTATCATGAGCTGAGGCTCTGGAGGTGGGCAGGGAAGGGGGAGAATAACAAGCAGAAGCATTTAAAGGGGCAGCTTCACATGTGCTTGCACCTAGCTGAAATTGAACAGGCACCCTTTTACTGAACAACAATGGGAAACGCTTTTCCTTGGACTTCTTCTGAGAAGGCACCGTATTGTTAAAATGTAGCCTGGTTTGAGAGTAGCATCCCTACTTTGCAGAGGATACCCCTCTTTTAGAAAAACCCCCAGTTTATTTCAGGCATGGACAGAGAGCAAATCTCCAAATGAGCACTGGCCATGGAGGCAGGGGTTTCTGAAAAAAGAAAGAAAGAAAAAGCAAAGTGAAGCCAAGCTGCAAAGTCAGAGGAGAGGCCATAGCAGTATGACATCATCATGAAAAGGCTCTGTAAACTTCCATGAGTGAAGCGTAAACACACAATGTGTGGGTTCACATTGGGTTGTCATTATGTGTGAACCCGGCAACCATAGTGAAGTATGGCACATTTGGTCTCCATGGAACCACGGAGAGAAACGACATCTTCTGAGGTTCCCAGACTTCACCATGGCTTGTTTTCACATCTGAACCCAGAAACAACACTTCTGCGTGGTATCTGTGTTTTATAGAATTTTGCAAGCTCCTGCTTGGATTTGTTGCAGTCCAAAACTTCCTAGCAACTGTTGAGTTGCAGGCAGCAGCACTCTGGTCACCCTGCACTCCTTTTCTGCCTCGCCAGCATGCTGTTTTCAGATGCCCAGCCAGGATGATGGGATCTGGCCAGCATCACAGCATCGTGCTATGCCACCTCCAGCAGCAACAGCCTCGAACACAGCCATGGCTGGCGCTCTGCTCTGGTGGCTGCACTTTATTGGAGTGGCATCTGGAAAACCTCTGTTTGGACCACGCTGGGAGCCAGTGCTTTCCTCTTGGGGTGGGTGCCTATAGCATCCCTGCATCTCTAGATGCAGCAGCACCAGGTTCACCCTAACAGTCCTTGTTTGTGTTCCCCTAATCAACACAAACCCAAGCTCTCTCTCCACCCACACCAGCCATAGGGCGGAGCTACCTTTTAAGTGACCCTGCGTTGCATCACACCAAAACATCCGAGCACTTCTTCTGTTTCATACAGAAGAACAGGGATACTCCCAAGGCGCCCCAAGGTGGCCCTCTGCTCTCTGAAGCCACCTCAGGGTGGAAAGCCTGTAGGAAATGCCCAAGGGATCATAGAGAGATGCTCCTCTTTCATCCAAGCTTGTCAACAGGGAGCTTCTTTCTCAAGGAAGGGAGTGAATTCTACCACAGAGGATCTCCCTGGGCAACCGTTCCTATGGAAACCTGGAACAGGTCCTGCATCACCAGGCAAGAAAAAAGGACCAGACGACATTTCTCAGGAGAAGCCATGGGCCAGATCCATGACAGAGTTAATGAGGATGTGAATGGGAAACAACTGCCAGCCTTCTCTGGGCTACTCTGGAAGATTGCTTCTTCTAGAGCCGAGAGTGGATCATTACAGCAGTGCGCTTGCGGAAACCGCAACTAGAGATGAGCCAAGATACTTATCTCATCGATCTCAGCAAAGAGGCTCAGCTGTGTAAACTGATGCATGCTCAGCCTGTGTTCCAAATTAGGCTCACAAGCAAAATCGACACCACTTTTACTAATCATACAGAAAGCGTATTTAATTTGATAAGTCCTGAGTGGTCTTGATTGCAGTCAAATCAACCACGAATCATCACACGGCCTTTTAAGCATTACCCAATACATTATGGCATGAGGTTTGGTTTGTGCCTTTTCTCAAATGTGCAATGCAGTCTTTAGAGACTATTGTACAAAGCTGATGAAAATGGACTTGGTATCATGACTGGAATGCCTTGGGAGATCTGTGTTCCAGTCCTCACGGTCTGAGAAGCTATTGGAGGCTAGTACTATCAGTGGGGAAATCCAGTGTTCAGACTGCTGGGACAAAGACATCCATCTATTTCTGAATGGAGCCACCTAAGCATCTAGTCCCGCAGAGGCAAGCGCCTGCACAGTGTAGTTGTCAAACCAGTTTCCCTGCATGGTTCCTCAGTCAGACATATTTGCATGTTTAAGTAGACACACCAGCTGACCTGAACTGTCAAGAATTTACCAGATTGACATATCAATAAAGCAATCAGTAATATTTTCCATGCTATGGTTACCAGTATTTCTGATCAGTTTAGAGCATTATGTCATGCCTAAAGACATCAAGGTGCTATTGTACCAAAATTATCTGGAAACTTAACACTCTGCACTGGTGTATGTGACTAGGAGGTTATAAAAATGTCTGTATATGGGAAGTGATTTTGTAGTTGAGTTTGCCTCTACTTGGTAATGCATTATCGTTAGTGACTGCAGGTACTGGGCCACTGATCAATAAAGCCACAGAGGCTCAAATGTCTGGACTTCCCCATGAATCTGAGTGTTCATTCCCTACAAATTGAAAACCGAGATTCTGTCAACACCATCAACCCAATCCCCTGCTATCCAGGGGTACTTGGTGAAATAAAGGGCTGGGAGCCTGAAGATCTCTGGATTACGCAGCTCTGGTTCACTTGTGCTCCCTTCTGAGGCCTAACCTGTCCTTGAATCTTTCTGCCCAAGGCTTTTTTCTGAAAGCAGATGCCCTCCTCTGCCCATAATTCTTTTTTCCAAACAGGGCCGTCTTTAGGAGATACAGTTCTTGAAAGACACACAGAGAGAAACAGAGACAGTCAGACTTTAGAACATATGTCAATTAACCCATGCCAATTGATGAGGTCTTTTTTTTGGGGGGGGGGGCTCTGGACCTGATTCCCAGATCTTTGTAGTAACTAGCAGTGCCCTGGGATCCCCAGATCCAAGATCAGAAATAGTGCTGCAAGCTCAGAGCTGCAAATTAGAGCACCAGCAATCTTTCCTCGCAGCCAGTGTGGAAAGAACTGGGCCCCCTGTTCTCCCAAGAGACAAGAAGGGGTGAAAAGGGGGGTGTTTTGGTGAGCCAGGGGGACGGAGAGTAAAGAGGCCAGCCTCCTTCCCTCCCACTCCCATGCACTCCAGCTAGACCCCAAACAGCCTGTTGTCAGGGAATCCCCGTTTTGCAACCTGCAAGAATGTACACACAGATCCACAGGAATACGGCTCTGTTGTGAACCTCAGCAGTTTTACTGGTGAGCACTCACAGGAAAAGCCACTCAGCAGAGACAAGCCTTTACACCAGTGCTGCCAGGCAGAGGTGCACAACCCAACCACAAGCCCCCAGAACACAGACAGAATTTTTCATAAGTTGCGAGTCAGTTTCAAGGCAGTGATGAGATTCTGAATGGGTGAGAAGGCGAGGACAATGGGGAATATTATCGAAAGGCTGAGAAATCATTAAAGGCATCAGGAAAAAGTCTTGGGTAACAGATATCAGTCAGGAGTTGCAGAAATCTAACAAGTTTAAAAGTTTTGCAAGCAGAGGTACAGAATTCCTTAAGGCAAAGGTGGGCTGCCTGGGGTTTTTTTACATTAGAAAAGGAATGTGCTTCCCCCTGTGGCTTGTCTGATTCTGCATGAATAATGGGACCCCCCCCCCCCCCCGCGGCCAGGGCCACCTGCTTTTCCCAGGCGTGTGGAGCGCAGAGAAAAGTTCTAGTCCCTTTGAGTGGAGAGGAGAAAGGGCGCTGCTGCTGGATTTTATTTCAAAGCACATGCAAAAGCACCTCTTTTTACTTGAGGATTTATTTGGGCTTTCCCAACACTGGGGGGGGGGGGGGAATGCAGGGCGGTGGAGATCACCACCAGTTGGAGGAAGCGTCCAAGTTCTGAGGCATCACCCTAGGACTGTGTCCAAAATTAGGTTGCTGAAACAAGGGAAGCTCAAGACACCCTTCCCCAGCCTGCAGCCCTGGGACTACATACCCAGCATTCCCAGCCAGCATGCCTGGAATGCCCAGGAATGGACCTCTGTAGGAAAGGACTGTGAGCTCATATCAGTTCCATTGCAGAAAACAAAGCCCCAGGTTACTCAGCACCTCCAAGGCTATCAGTGGCACATGATAAATAAACATGTGCCATTGTAAATATTCAGCTGCCCAATAATCACTGAATCCAATTGTGATTTATTCTGAGTCAGGATTTATTCTGATTCTCAGCATTGTACAAACTGGCCTTCAGGATGTAGTTCCATGCATATTAGACTGAAAAAGGCCTAAAACTCCAAGGATCACCCCAGCCAGTCATGATTTTATTTCCCGTCTAAATATGTGTAGGATTGCAACCCAAGCATATAACTTTTGTACTTGCTACTGGCTTGGGGACCAAAGTAGATCTGACAAGCCGGAAATGTGCACATTTCTGGCTCTTGTTGCACAGCTGGAGATTCTTCCATGTTCTTGTTCCTTATTTTGCTTTTCTTTGATTCTCACTGCTCTTGTCCTTCACCATTGGAGCCCTTATCTAGGACAGCAGCCTTAATCTGTACAAATCCGCCTAGGAACTTCCACAGTATCTGCGGCATTTGTGTGTCTCGGTTGGCCACCGTTCTTTACCGTTCTTTAACACTGGCCTGCGGGGTGGGAAATCACACAGCCCAGAGTCTTGTTCTTACAGTGCAGCAGCCACATAATTTTAGACCCTGGATTTTAGGTCTTTGTGCTTTCCTTCAGTTGTGCAATGCACAGCTAACATTTCTCCCCATCCCATGCTTCACAAATGGTTTAATCTTCTTGATACCTGGCAGCAAGAAACCAAAGTATTTTTGTAAATCCAGTGTGCTCACCCTCTCAGCAACATTTTGAGCATATGCACTTTGATATCGACGCATTTAAATCAAAGCACGATCAGGATCAGAAGAATAAATGGAAGTTGCTGCCGTGACGTGGAACACATATACTTGGGAATAAGCACCACTTGGTTGCGGAAAAGGGAAATATATATCATTATGTAAGTAAAAAGAATAAATGAACATATGTACCAGGAACATGATGCCTGGCTAGCTGCCACCTGATGATGATGATGATGCTCAGGCTGGCCTAGGTGTTGACACTGTACCTGAAGGCAACTGCCCACTGCTGGCACTTTCTGGTGGCCACTAGAGCCTTTCCTGGGCTGCAAGACCCGCTGTTCCGGCTGCAAAGTCCTGCCCTGGTTTTACCATTGGGTCCCCAACCTTTTGGGGCCTGTGGACATACTTGGGAATTTTAGAAATTGCTGTGGGCACCATCACAAATTGCCCAATCAGTGGATTGCTGCCTTAGCACCTACTGGGCGCATCTGTGGATCGAAGGTATTCTTTGGACACTGCGATGTTTCTTTAATAGGAGATTGCCTAATGCGGCTCTAAGTGCACATAATTGCTTCTTTTAAACACATATCTTGACAATGTTCGGTAGTGGTATAAACTTGGGAGGTATTTATTGTGAGCCTGTCATTAGGCAGAATGTTCTGCTTCACTACAGACAAGCTCTACAAACAAAAGAGCAATTATAATGATGCTGAGGCTAAAACAGGCAAGTGCTCCACCAGAGCTCCTGCAGGTGCTGAATTGGGGCCCAAGGAGCAGCGTGAGCTTGTCTCTGTCCAGATCATGCAAAGACTCGTCTAGACTGATTCGAGATCGTTGCACATGGAAAACTGCATGCCGAGTAGAAAGGATGCAGTTGAGACTTTTCTGTGCCGTGCTAGCTTTCTAAGAATAGGACTGAATTTTCATGGGTCACCTATAGTCCAAAGTGGCAGAGCGGGACCATCTCAGGGAGAACTAGACTGAGAAGCTGTGCTTACCTTATTCTGAGGGCAGGTGGTGGAGAGTTGTCCAGAATGATTTGCATTTAGAGATGACATTAATAGGATTAGGAACAGGAAGGCCGTGTTTGGATGATAACACATGATATTAGAGCAGGTAAAGAACATGCAGGACAGCAGAGAAAGGAGATGTAAGCTGCCTGGGTTCCCCCCAAGAGGGAAAAGGAGAGATACCATTCATAAATGCACACATAAATATAAATAATTAGTTGCTGAATAAGGAACCACTGTTTTATATTATGACAAAGATTCTCACTTAAAGAGCACCAGTTTTCATGGATCAGAGTGATCTGTGGTTAGTAGATATTTACACAAGCAGATGGGGTGTGAGGGGAAGAATTGTAAACAGCAGAGGCTAAGGGAAAATTAAATGCAACAATATGACATGTGCCAACGATGTTAAATCTTAAAGGGATGTATGTTTGTTACATTCACACAGCAATGTCAATACCACAAGCATTCTGACTTTCCTAAGTCAGTTAAAATCTGTTTTAGTGGGAAAGTTAAGCTATTACATCCAGGGAGGCCAAATGTGATTGCAGAGGCAAATATAGTTGAAGCGCTGAAGGTGAACAGACATATATAAAATACCAAGGTGACTATTCTATTCTACTGGAACTTCAAAGGGAGACTCTAGTATGAAACTGCTGAAATTCAACGTATCAAGAAGTTCAGTTCTGTGGGCTAAACTGAGATAACATCTTTTATGTTTATGTGATAATATCTTTGTGTGTTTGTTTATGCCTTTGCCTTTAACTGTTTATAAGCGCTGATGGCTTTCGCATCATTGCTCACATGATATGCCGTAATACATTCTGCAACAGTGCACAAGAAAACCTCAAATATGCCTCAAGTACAGCGACCCATGGAGAGTTTCTCCGGAACGAGAAAGAGGGAAATGAGACACGTTTAATCGCTTTATTCTAAAACTACTTCTAGAAGTTAGTTTGCATTGAGGGATCTGAATGGCCCAAGGACTCTGTGGAGATTTGATCCAGGCCTCTAATTCCAGCTCACTTTCCAACTTCAACTTCCTATTTCCAGCCAACCACGATGATTCACAACAATGAGGAAATGCCTGTGCATTTCAGCAGCTGCAGGTCAGCCAGTTCTGGGATTTAACCAACACATGACTCCACTGCGAGGTGATTCATTACAAGAGATTTGGTAAACCAGCCAATTGGTGTGTCCCATTTACTAAAGCCATTTTAAACCTGTGACAGATCTGATTGCCACCTTCCTCAGATGCTGCAGACACAGCAGTGAGAAACCGGATGTCCTTCTTTCTCTCATTTCCATTTATCAGTGCAGACGTAGGTTCTGCAAGATGACCATTCTTAGAATTTGCTACATTCCTCTCTCAAACCTTTGAAATTAAAGAAACTCTGCACGGTGTGTACATGAAGTGCAAGTTAGGTTCAGTGGAATGCAGGAAAAACTCGGATGGGGAAGAGAAGAGTATGAACTCAAGAAACAGGTGAGATTTTCTATTATAATTGTACCCTTTGAACTCAAAAAGGAATATTTAAGTTTGGTGCAGGTCCTGCTGGACAGACGAGTTCTGCTGCTTTCAGACTAGGTCAAGAAATATTGCATGGGATGACAGAGGCCATGCCTTCCTATTAAGTTGGATTGCCTGTTGGGAGATGGGTTTTATTACTTCAGGATGGAAGGACATACCCAGAGGAAAGCAAGAATGAAGGAATCTTATCTGTGGAACCAGGCCTTTTCCCTGTAGCCAATGCCTTGCAAATGTCTAGCAGAGAACAGGAATGGCAAGAATAGCATAGTCGTTTTTTTGATTCTGGGATAGTACCTACATCAGCATCTGTCCCAGCCAGTGCCAGCCCCAGTTTTTGGAGGGCTCATGGGCCCACTCCCTCAGCAAGTTTAATCTTAATTTTTCTTCGGATTTGTTTGCTCTTGCTGCAGGTGTACAACTAGAAAAAGGTCTGTCCATTGCAAGGAAGTGGATTTCAGCTCAACACTAGGAGAAATGTCTCTGTTTGACAGTGGGACAGTTGGGCTTGGTAGATATTTATTCAGCAAACAGACAGGGCTCCATCGGGGCTCTTGCAGCTGTACTGAGCAGGGGGCTGGACTAGATGAGGTCCTGTCCAGCTCTTAAATATAATACTGAAACTGTTCTAAAGTTGCTCTTTTACTACTGTGGAAGCCACATGGGATCTATGAATGGCAGGAAGAAAGGGAAAGAAGCGTTCAGAAGTGCAAGAAATGGAAAGTTAGGGACTAGGTTAACTGATGCTTGATGAAGGCCAGAAGTGTTAGCAATACCCAAATGTCCCTTTTTCATTCTATAAAAGCTGGCAGATCCGCACCTGTTGTTTTAGGACTTTCTGATTCTAGGTCTGGAGTTAGCCCCTACAGTACAAATAGCAAATTTGTTATCTGGGTTTGAATTCATAATGTAGCCAAAGCAAAGCCATCCATGCACAAGAAGGAGGTAACTACGTGTTTGTGGAAGCTCAAGGTTTGCAGAAATTCATCAATAAAAAAAAATGAGAACAAAAAATGAAACCTGTGGGAGAGAGTCCCAAAATTAGCACAGTGAAGATTCAGCAGCTAAGAATGCTTGCTGTTGCGGCGATGGGAAGGCCCACGAATTAACATCATTGGGGTCATCATGGCAAAGCTTTTTAAGTGGGAGCATCATGGGCTCACTTTAAAACACAAGATGGCGGTGAAGACCAGTGCCCTGGAAAGGTTTTGCCCCAAGGAGGAAGCTCAAAGGAGATGCAAGCAGGAGCACAAGCAGGCTGCCCCTTGGCAAACCAGCCCCAGCCGTAACCTCCGACTTCTGCCTGAGCACGTGTCACAAGCAAACGCTCTCAGGACAGCTTATGTTGGTAAAACAGCAATTAAAATGAGGGTCTCATGATGCAATTCTTACCATGTTATTCTTTTTCTTCAAGGGCAGAGGAAAAACACACACCAGGAACTCATCCCACATCTGCTAAGATCCAGTGGGATGTTTCACCTCCTCTCTACCTGTTGGTCTTGGCTGCAGGCAATCCAAGAGCCAATGAGGTAAATCCCAGGAACTTTTAAATTAATAATATTATTATCGGTTATTTGTCAACCAAGTTGATCTTCCATTCTATCTCCCGGCTTCCTGGTTTACTGTCTTCCTGGTGTCAAATGTTCAACTGCAAGCTCTGAGAAGCAGGAGCCTCTATTTTGTTATTCCATAAAGTACCACCACATTGCTGGTACAATAGGATATGCCAGATGGATAATAAATAATGTCCCACTTTATGGGCTCCCTAAACTTTCTGTGTAATTTATAGAACAGCTCTGAAAGGAGCATTTCTCTGAAATTTTCACCAGCACGAACTTCCACAATAGATCATGGGAAATCATAAGAAAAATGATGTGGACTCTGAGCCTGTGCAGAATACCGTTTTCCCTCTCGCAACAGGTAGCCTTAGTCATTTGGCTTTCTGCGACGGGGGCAGCATAAAAATGCTATAATAAATAATAAATAAATAAATTTGCAATACAACATACCAGGGGCTCCCAGCCACAAAGGCAGGGCACTTGTCTGTTTTAATCTCCGTATCATTATCGTTGCTCTTTTGTTTGCAGAGCTGGTCTGTAGTTAAGCAGAGCGTTCTGCCTAATGACAGGCCCACAGTAAATATCTCCCAAGTTTATACCAGCCACAGAGGTTTGGGTTTATTTGTGCCGTGCAGCAGAAAGGTTACTAAGGCAATAAACTGAAGCCCAGCAGGTTGCCAGGCAATCTTCTCCTCTCCTCATTCCCCCGCCCCTGATTCTGCCTTTCTCCGGGCCTGAACCCCACAGAAATTCCCATAGCAACACTGAAGGCCAGCTCAGCGCCTGCCACCTCTGAGCGGAGAGCGGCTCCTGGCATCCTGCTTTCCAGCACAGCAGCACTGCCCGGTGACGGAGAAAAGATGTCCTTGATGAATTCGGCCCGCTTCGCCGCTGTTCAAAGGACAAAGCTTCCCACCCATTTGAGAAATGGCAGCTCTGTTGGGTCACGCACCGTTCTTCTTCCCAAACTGCAGCTGCTGAACAATTTTTCAACAGACCCCTTCCTTGCTTCTCTGGAAGAGGATTTGGGGCCCACAGCGAGCGACATCAACTGCATTGCATTGGCTCATTTTTAAAGCAGGGCTGCCGCTGCTGTTTCCTGCTTCTTCTTGGCCAAGAGCAGGCACCTGTGTGTCCATGCTGGGATTCAGGGCAGGATGGCCGTGTGGGAAGGCGGCTTACAAAGGCACTTTCCCCATTTCCTTTTCTCCTGCTGCAAATACCCCCACCCAAAAGCTGTTATTTTGTGCCCAAAGTTCCAAAGCGCCATCAGCTTCTCCTGGTACTGCTCTGGGTGCTTTGCAGTAGCTCAACGATAGTTTGCACAGGGCAGTCATTTAACCCTGGCAACCAAAGGCTTCCCCAAGCCCACGCCCTGCAAAGATCAAGCTTGTCGCATCCCTGATCTGTAGTAACTCATGGGGCACTGTGTCAAGTTGGAACCACCCCTCTGAGCCACCTGGCTCTCGCTGCGGGACTTTAGAGGGCTACTAGGAAACAAAGCGTTTATTCTAAGTGTTTTTATTCTGTACCTGGAGTGGCTTATATACAAGACATGACACACAAGGAGCATATGTTGGGGAGGGAAAAGGAAAAAAAATCTTTCCACCCGTCTGGTGGAATGATCCTGCTTTCACTTTCATCACCTTCTGTGCAGCCTGCAGATCCCACAAGCCAGAGGTCTGTTCACACTAGTGCAATTGGATTGCAGATTAACACCATCTCCCTTTCTTTATTATTAGGAAAGTGACCATCCTTGTGCTTGGTCCAGGTGGAGCTGGGAAAAGTTCCCTAGTCAAAGAAATCCAGAGAGGTGAGTTGAAGAGCAGAAGTTACTTTGAGATAAGACTTGCCTGATGTTCCATGTCAGAACCCAATCTGAGGGCATAGCAGGGTTTAGCATGCAGTAGTAAGGGGTGAGAGTGTGTCTAAGCACGTGCAAAGGGCTTAATGCTAAGTATCACAGCCAGCCTCAAACAGATGGGATAAGAGCAGAGACTAGCTGTAAGGTACAGCTAAGGGTGGCCCTATTTAACGGCCAAGTCCAATTTAAATATAAAGAAACATAGGCATGGAGAGCAAGGGCCTTGAAGCTGCCCATCAACAGTGCCTGGTTTTTATTTAGCTTATTTTTAAACATTAAGCCCCCTTTAAGATTGAAAAGTGGAATAACTGGTACACTGGTCACCAGTGAATAATTTCTAAATTTTGCAATATATAAAATTAGCGTCCCCTTCTGCTTTCTTTTTGATGATGCATTTTTTTGGCAATGGGTAAATGGCCACTCCAGCTGATTTCAGCAGAGAGAGATAATCTCAGGTGTTATTCAAGAAAATCAGCTCTCAGATATTTAAGTGTTATTGTTATTTATAACAATATATATACTGTAGCTATAGTAACTACGTATACTGCTACTACACTGTATAGTAACAGTAACTATAACAGTAACTAACTATTCTAAACAGTACCTATACAGTTACTGCTAAAAACAGCTACTATGACAACAAACACAGCCATGAAGTGTATGCCTGCGACTTCATGTCTTGCTTTCCCTGCTTTATAGTTCTTTCCTGTGAGCTGCTCCCCACCACGAAGCCCAACCAGACAGAGCTCAGGGTGGAGAGGTTTGAGGTGTCCCTCATCGACCTGCCCGGGGGGCAACAGTCATGGCGAACCTGGAAGGACCACTACGGCCTGGCTCACGGGATTATCTTTGTGCTCGACTCCAGTGATGTGGCAAAGATGGATGAGGCCAAGAAGACCCTTTCCCGTGTGTTGGGACACCCGAAGGTTTCGGGAAAGCCTCTTTTACTGTGAGACCTTCCTCCTACACGCACCTTCATGTCCTCTTCCTTTGCAACTTGTGATAGATGGGCAGGGTAAAAGTCTGAATTTGTTCCCACCTTCCAGTTCTTATCAGACCTCCAGAAAACCAATACCATTCCACTCAGTCCATTTCCCCAAGCAGGGAAATGTTCTGGAGTGCAGCTCTTATTTGGTTTGACTTTCATGTCAACTGGTACGTAGCTTCTTGGTGGGATAAAAATACTTTATTTATTGGGTTTATTTATTATATTTATTTATATCCCACCTTTTGTCCTTCCAAGGAACTCAGGGTGACTTACATAATTCTCCTCCTCCTCTCAGCCTTATCCCCAGAACAACAACCCTGTAAGGTAGGCTGGGCTGAGAGTCTGTGACTGGCCCAGGGTCATCCAGCTGGCTCCATGGCTGAGTGGGGACTCGAACCCAGATCTCCTGAGTGCCAGACCTGCACTCTTAAAGTTCAGAAATACTAATGATTCCTTGCAAGAGGAAAAGATGAAGGATATGAATATAAAATAATAGTAAGAAAAATCAATGACAATATTAATAAATATACATAATCACCACCATCTTTATATAATATCTGCTGTTCTTGAAGGTCTCTTGCTTTTCCTCATTCTCTAGCCAGCCACAAAGCTGAACAAAGCTTTAATTCCAACAAAGGGCTTTAAAATAAGTAGGGTCTTCCCTTTTTTTCTTTTTCGTCTCTCTATGTTCTCCTCTGCTTTCTGCATGAACGGTTCAAGGCTGGCAAACAAGCAGGACAAGGGGGAATCTCTCTTGCCTTCTGAGGTCATCGAATGCCTGTCTCTGGAGCAGCTGGTGAATGAAAGCAAGTCCCTGTGTCGTATCGTAAGCACAAGACAACTGTCTTTGCTCACATGGCAGCTTGCATGGAGTTCTTTTCTGGGAAGGACAAAGGAAATTGTTCCTGCACAGCTTCACAGCAGGAGTGCTGAATCCTAGGCCTGCGGGCCAAATCTGAGGACCAACTTCCTCAATTCTCAAATTCTAATTGAGGAAAATGGGTCCGATGAATATGGCTTGTCTTCATCAGCCCCCGTCAGAGGTCCTCAGTATGAAACCCCCAGTAATTCCAGTTATCTATGCATTCCATCCTGCATCTCCCTAGAGAGGAGGGTAGCATCCCTTTCACAGGATTCCAGGGATTTGCAGGTGTAGGGGATAATCCGACTTAGGAGAGGGTGTGGGATCAAGCACAGGGGCCACCTGGATTCCCTAGGAGGGTGTTCAGTTACAGGGCATCCTCCTGAGCATCTCTGGGCAGATCAAAGCCTAAACTCTTTTTGGGGAACTGCAGAGAGCCAAACTAGAGGTGAGAATAAAGGTTAGGGTTTGGGTGTCCCTAACCTCAGGAGAGATGAGGGTTAGGGTGTCCCTAGTCCAAGGAATGAGTTAAGTAGGGGTCAGTGGTGCTCTGGAGGAAAGTGAAGACTGGGGCACGGGGTGCATGGAAGGCACATGCTTCCCCTTGCAAGTCACTTGCTCTCCAGTTTCACTGTCACTTCACGCTTCACTTTGTCTGCCTCCAGGAGCTCTGGTTCCTCCACTGAGGAAGAGTCTTCCTCCAGGAGCACAACTGGCTGCTTCATGTCACCAGAGGGAGGCTGACCTTATCTGACCATACATAAAATTCAGAAATCCATACCAGTACCTCATCTTTATTAGGGCAACCCAAACATCCCAAAAATCACATGTCTCCAGGTCTCTTTATGAGCAATGTCATAAAAAGCACAGCTGGAAATACAGAAGGGAGGAAAGCACACTCGATTCGTAGTCTGAATTTCCTTCCCCTCCATTATCTCCTCTTGATGGTTTTTGGTTCTGCTGCTTGCTTTGAATGGGCCTGAGGATTCAAGCTGACTTAATCTCCCTCTCACAGGAACCCTGCTCAGCTACCAAAAGACTCCCCAAAATCCAGTGCTGGAGCATCGTCCAAGGAATCCACTGGCTCTTGCGCACCATTGCCGTGAACTACGGCACCCTGTGTGGCCGCATCCAGGAAGACGACCCCGAGAGACAGGCGTCAGCAGAGCAGGAGAGGATGGAGAAAGCACAGCGAGCCAGGAGTGGGCCGCAGGGAGACAGGTGCCCATTCACGAGCACATGCCACATCTTTCAAATGTATCACTGGCTTGACCAAGATGGAGCATCACTTTGGTCCTGAGATGAGCGCTCCAATGTGGGCTAGAATCGCATCACAGTGCAATGCTCGTCATAGCCAGCACCAAGTTCGGGATGGTCGGGCATGTGCCAAGGGCCCAGCAGGAGCCCACCAGCCAGAGGCCCCTGGACTTGCTCCTCCTCTCTGATGCTGCAGTCTGATGCCTCTCTCTCTGGTCCAGGTAACAGGGGTGGTGAGAAGATGGAGTGGGAGATGCCACTGCCTGCTTGCTCGCTGGATCTCTGTGGGTCCAGTAAGCAAGTGGGGGCAGTGGTGAGGAAGAGGAGGAGCTGCAAAGCCGCTGATGGCAAGAGCGGTGGGAAGGCCGATTCAGTGAGTGAAGGGGTCTCTTGAAGGTGCTTTGCTTGAGGACCCTCAAAAGCCTGGAGCTCGCTCACAATTCATCTCTGACCCACCCACCATCCTATGAGACAAATCATTCCTATTTACAGACTGTGAACTGAATCTGGACAAGAGTGGTTTCTTGAAGTGGCCATCAGTGGGTCCATAGCCGAGCTGTGTTTGAAAATAAGTTCTTCAGGAACGATGTCAAATATTCTGCTTGGAACTCATTAATAGCCTTCTTCATTGCCTGGGAAGCTTGCAAGGTGGCAGGACTGTCCTTAGCAGCATCGCTTGGTGATTAAATCCTCAGGCTGAAGGAAGAGACGAGCAAGCAGATGGATTGTTTTGTGATTCCTGTGTCTGCTTTTAGGGAGTCACGGACCAGAAGGAAGAGCTGCCCAGAAGAAAGTGCAAAGACAGAAGAAAGAAAAACCACAAAGCTGTCCCAGAATATTTCTGCACAGGTAACCAGCTACACTGCGATATTTTGCTTTTAAAAAGTCCTGCTTCTAGAAATACATGGGTTTGCTTTAATTAGTAGCATGAGGATGATACAGTGCCAGCCAAATAGGCCACCTGGAAGAGATACAATTCTCATCAAATCTGCACCATGACTTCATGTCAGCCTTTCCCCACTTGTATTCTCCCACCCACCGCAATCTGCTTTTTGTAACATCTTGCCTGATGAAGAGAACTGGAGAGTTCAAAAACTTGCACATTTGATTTGACTAACACATCACATTAATTTGGATGTTAGTTAAAACTAAATTTAAATTTGTAATTAACTTTATTCATGTGGTTAGCATTAGGGTTGGAGTTATGCATGCATGCAGAATTAGGGATACAATCCTATGCCAGTTTAGTTCCGAAAAAGACCTACAAATTCTGGCATGTCCCAGCCAGCATAACCTTCTTCTGTCTAAACTTGCACAGGGATGCATTTTAGTTGTTTTTCAGGCCATCGTTTTTCCTTAAAAGCTAAGTAGTGCATAAGAAAGGTATACAACTGAGTTATCACATCTTAAAATATTTACAAATTTGCCTATAAAAGTAATTTCCAAGGCAGCTTTTGAATTTGCATCAATATAATACTCCAGGTACACAAACAGGGCAATGCTATACACGTCTACTCAGAAGTATCCGGTTGCAGCCAAAGTGCAGCCCATTGACTTTTTTCACCCTTTCCTAATAAAATATTCATATTCAACAACTCTTGGTTACTGGGGAAAATTCATTTGAGATGTTTATACAGGATGTCAAATTAGCATTGCTTAGTTTTAAAAGTGCTGCTTCTGGGGAAAATGCATCGAAGAAACATGCTTAAATAGTCATCCATCAATTTGGGACAGAGGAATGCTTGGGGGAAATGTTCCGGTTCAATTCCAGTTTTCCAGAGTGGGAAACCCGCATGGCTGCACTGCAGTCAACCAGGCCTTCTTGGTGTCAGACTTGTCTATTGGGATCCAGCAGTGATGTGCTGACCACCCCTACAGCCAGAACCTAAACACAGACACTGGGCTCAGTGCTGGACCTCATGGTTTGCCACTCCCCAGGAGAAAGGCACAAAAACAGGGGGCTACATAAGTCTCTGGACATCATGATTTTCTCTGCATGAGGCACTAAAACTAATGGTCTGGGAAGCCCAGCCTTCTTTGCCACAGAACAGTCTGGTCCTTTCAGCTCTTTCATGGCCTCCTCCCCCCAGAAGCATATCAGGTCTAGAACCCAGCCTGGAATGCAAGACATAGATCAGCCTTCCGTGACCTCCAGATGTTCTTGGCTAGAGCACCCAGCATCGCTGAACCATTGGCTGTACCGAGAACTGAACATCTGGAAGCCACCAGGTCGAGGAATGCTGAGACAAGAAGGGAGAGAGGTTGCCAACTGAACTTCAGCCTAGCTGGAAGCAGGAGCTGTGCACAGGGAAATGCCCTTGTTATTTGCAGCCTGTGATCCGTTCTCTCCAATCTTGTTACCCCCAGTGGGATTCCTCCTCCGGCCCTTTCCTCAAGCCCCTGCAGCCTCCAGGCTTGGTTTGGGGAGGGAGAGAGACCTGCAGAGGAAGCCCAAACCGTAACAGGCCCATGGGCTGAATGCGGCCTGCAGTTTGTGGGTGCTCCATCTCTGCTCTAGCAGAGAACACAGAGCTATGGCTGAAGAACAGACCTTAACATGCAGGTCACTCATGAAGGAGTTAGCCCCAGAGATTCCCAGGACCCAGGGCAGGTAGGGAGTTAACAGTCAATACCTGTAGCTTCCATTGTCCCAGAAACAGCTCCTGTAGTTTTTTCTGGAGGGGTCAGCGGGGGGCTCAGAACAGGCACTTCATGCTGGAGTAAGAAGAGTTTGGACAGCAAATGGCAAACTTTTGAAATTGCCTCCAAAGGTAGAGCTCCCTGCCACCTGGTCATTTCTATTAAATTTGGGGGGGGGGGGGTATTTTTTGGATAGAAGGAGGAAAAAGCCATTGCATCCAAGAAAAGGAAGGGGAGGGTCAAGCTGAAGATGAAAAAGAAAAGCTTGGCCCCGTCTGAGGACACCTTCACTGCGGACGAGAGTGGCAAAGCAGCAGTGGGCGGGAGCAAAGCTGGAGTGGTCCCCGGCCTCCTGCACAGCAACAAGGTCGCCCAAGAGAATCTCAGGAGTCTGGATACCCCTCCACCCCCACCAGGTAAGCCTGATTTTCTAGCCAAATTTTCAGTGGAGCTGAGACTGATGCATGTAGTATTTTTATACTGCTTTTCTTGTTGTGCCACTGGGACTACAAGGAGCAACTCTGCCACAAACAGCAGATTTAGGAAAAGGCAAAGGATGAGATAGAGAGGGCCAAAACTTCAAAGCTCTGGGTTCAGATCTCACCTCTGCCAGGCAGGTTTGTGGGAATTCTCCATTTCTCAGCTGCAAGGCCATATCTAAAAAAGGAAAGTAATCATTTACTTCAGCAGGGACTGCAAAATGCATCATTAGTTAAATCTACCTTACCAATACTAAGATTTGCAAAGAGATAGGCACTGTTTTAAAAACAATGTTAGTGATAGTTTATTCTGGAAGCACCCATTGTTGGACATGTTCAGAAACAAAGTGGTTTTGCCCTGCTGTGAGATCTTTCCCTTTCATGAGGAGGAGGACAGGAGGTGGCGGGGCAGGGGGGGGGGGCGGGGTCCCTTAGACTCTCTGCACGTGCAAATGTGGTATATCCCTCTTCACCTGCCATTTTCGACTTCTAAATTCATGACTCTGTTTATTGTGCTACTATTGTTTAATTATTTCATGGGCAGCATAGGAAAAGAAAGATGCAATATAAAGGAGGATGCTGGCCCGCACGTCTTTCTTTCTTTTTATATTTATATCCCTCCATATTTCCTGCAAGGAGCTCAAAGCAGCTTACATAATCCTCTTCCTCATTTGCAGTTTTATCCTGGCAAGAACTGTCTGAAGTAGGTCAGGCTGAGATTGACCTATGAGTTTCAGGGCCAAATAGAGACTAGATCCCTGGATCTCCCAAGTCCCAGTCCTGCACTCTATACTATAACTATTATATACTATAATATATATTATATTATATACTATATTATTATTATTATTATTATTATTATTATTATTATTATTACATTTTTATACTGCCCATAGCCAAAGCTCTCTAGGCAGTTCACAGCAATAATCATAGAAGCATACACTCAGGTCACCCATCCCACTTCTGCACAGGCCTGACCCTGCTTAGCTTCCAAGATTAGGCAGTATTATATTACTATAATATATAAGTACTATAACATGCCGGCTTTAGAGACATTTGTCTAGATATTACTGCTGTAGCCCAGCTTTCCACCAAGGAGCTCAAGGTGGCAGTCTTGGCCCTCCTACCCATTCCTGCTGTGTGCTCACTGCAACCTTGTGAAGGAGACTAGACAGAGAATGATTGGTCCATGCTCGCCTGGTCAGCTCCTTATCCAAATGGGGATTCCAACCTGGATTGCTCCAATCCTGTTCCAAGCCTCTAACCCAGGGCTGTTGAACCTCACTTTCAGCCTGAATGGAAGTTTGGAGAAGTTCTCAGGGCTGCATTCAGTGGAGAGTGAGGCCAAAGATTAACGGGGAGTCAACATTTATTTTTATTTTAAGACATTTTTATGCTGCCCCATTCGCCGAAGCCTCGGGGCGGCTTACAACAATAAGTTAAAAATACAAATACAATAAGTTAAAATACAAACATTAAATTATAACCTTAAGTTAAAATGTTTGTAAAATGTAAACATAAAGTTAAAACACAAAAATAACAATATAAAATAAGTCGCCCTGGCCAGAAATACCAGGCAGAAATACCAACATAGCTCTGCTTAAAGCTTTTAGGGCCTGCAGCTAAAATTGAGAAGCTGCATTTCAATGCTTTGGAATTGGGTAAAAACCGCACTCATGCTGGGAACCCACCAAGGTTCAGCCGTGGAGTAAATGGGGTGGAATGGGGTCTATCCATTTGGGGAACCCCGCAGGAATGGATTGGGAGCTGGCTGGGGAGGTCTGGCCTGTGGGCAGGAGGGTCTGTGCCCTACTCTAATTACTGCACTGGACCCAGTTTGGCTCATTCCAAATGCTGAGATTTTATGATCCACTTGGAGTCCGTTGCAGCTCAGTTGGACGAGGGGGAAGGACGAGGGAGAAGAATGGAAGAAAATGTGCTGGCCTTCCTGGAGATTCACGCTGCTATGAGAATTTTGCAGCGTGCTGTAAAGGCTGCCATTGTGTAAAGTTGGCATGTTCCCAGACAAAGTTTCTATAAATCATTCACCCACAATTATACCAGCAAGAAAATAAACTACGCTAGCAAATGCCAGCATGATCAGTATCTTCAACCTGCCAGCTGGCCAATTCTTGCTACTTCTAGCAGGAATATCTTGTCCCCGCAGATCTGCCTATCCAGCTTGCGCCCCCTGCTGCAAAGAGGTTAGTATGTCAGGGGCTATTTATTCTACCTCTCTTCTCTGTATTTCACATCCATTGTGTGATAGTTTTCTCATGTCCAAGAAAAACGGCTCATTTCCATCAGGAGCTTCAGAAACACCATGTTCATCGGGGGTTTTCAGGGCCCGATGACAATTAAAAATGTAAATGAGCAGTATTAAGAAATTGATTATATCTGTAACAGGATCCAGTAGACCATTCGCAAGCATTCATCTCGTAAGACTGCTTACTTGGGAGTATTTTTCACTGAACTCAGTGGGGCTTCTGAGTAAGCAGGGACAACCAGACTTTCAAGGTTGCTACCATGGAAGGTTCCTTGTAGCCTGATTTTTGCAGGTCTTCAACAAACAGACAACCCCCTTTTTATTTCAACAGGAACTTGTCCTATGGCGTCAATTTGTTTTCCCTGCTTTCTGTTTTAGAATGCATTTTTATTTGATACATTTTAAAGTGGCTGCCATTTGTATATGTATTTATTTCTTTAAAGCAATAATATTATACTCTTCAGAAGCAAAACTTCCCAGAATGTCTCATAGACAGATTTTAAAAATCAAGACAATCCCTGCTGTCAGCATTACAATCTAAAAAGTCATGACACAAATGGAAAAAAAGAATGAGGAGGGCAAAGGAAAACGAAGTTCAGGCAATAGATCTTAATGTTACAAAGGTCTCATAATAATTAGCTTTATTGCATTGTTGGTATTTCTAGGAAGGAAAGGAAGTGAATCAAAGGTTGGAAGAGTCAAAAATTACGTTAATAATCTTATCTTGCTTATCTTTTCATCTTCTCTTGGCTGAAAGCATGGTTCATGGATGAGAATTGGGGCAGAGGCTTATCAAGACAAACCTGCCTTCTCAGACAAACTAGTAGTAGCCCTGCTTTATTTCTTAATCCAATGATGTTATATTGCTTGTCACTTTTTACTGCATATTTTCCTGGAGTTGTCTGCCAAATGAATAACTAGGAATGTACTACAGATCAGACTATTGAAAAAGAAGACAAGAATTATAATTGACTGATACTGCTGTGACATTTTCATTCCAATTCCTGCTCTTTTTTCTTCCAGGACAGCGAACAAAGAAGAAAAATAAAATACTAAAAAATAAAATAAAAACTCAAGAATCGTTACAGCTGCAGCCAAATGAGAACCTGTCAAGTACTTTTGGTACATATTTCCAAAACTGGGAATCGGGAAAATAAGTTTTGGGGAGGGCTTTCCATATTTTGATATGACTTCTTGTACCAATAGATTAGGGTAGCTTTCCTCTTGGGACTGAATTGGCCTTTTGAGAACAAAGTTCTCATGGGTTATTATCTGGCACAAATCACTTATTTAGCTGTCTTGTGTGACCTTGGGTAAGCAAGCAGGGTATAATTGTTCTAAAATAAAAACAAATCTCTAAAGGTACTAAGTGTCAGTGCCAGGCGCACCTCTCTGGGGAGCATATTCCATAACTGGGGCACCAGCACAGAGAAGGCCCTTCTCTGGGTAGCCACTCTCCTGATCTCTTTCAAAGAGGGCTCCTGGAGAAGGACCTCCGATCCAGATCTTAGTGGGGAGGCAGATATGTAAGGAAGGAGGCGCTCCTTCAGAGATCCAGGTCCTGAGCCATTTAGGGCATTATACATCACTGTCATTAATACCTTAAATAGGGTATTTCCAGCTCCAAGGTCAGAACACTGCCTCTGACCTCAGATCTGGGGATGGCAAACAGCCTCTGCCCACCCTCAGAGGCCACCAAATTGCTTCCTCTGTCTCCAATGTATATCCCATCTGTTTTGGGACAAAGGATTTGCATTCTTTCAGTATTCATAGCAACAATGACTTTTAAAGAAATCTCTTCTGAGCTATCCTGCAAGTGTAGGAAGAAAAAGAAGGAAGATGCTCCTGTAACAATCTTAGACATGGCTAGAGGTAAATAGGACAAGGTACTCGGAGAAAGATGGAATTTAGAACCCCAGGGTGCCTATACTTACCTTCCCCAACCTGGTGCCTTTCCCTGTCTGTTGGCCTACAATCCCCATAATCCCCAGCCAGCATTGTATACCAGGGAGTCTAAGCCCAGTTGACCAAAATGAAACTTACTTTTAAAGAAATCTGCTTTGTGTTGCACAGCAAATATTTCTGTTCATAATATTGAAAGGAAAATGCCCAAAGCATGAGTCCAAATGTTGCATTTGTAACAGCTAGACTAGTATATGCTAAATACGGAAAGACTGCACGAGCAAGAAAATGGTGTGCAAAACCAAGAGAATTTGTGTAAATCAAGAGAATGGTGTGTGAAATTCTGGGATATGGCTGTCTTGTGTCAATAATAAGGGCACTCAGTGAAAAAAGGAGCTCATAATAGAAATCTGTCATAAAAGTACAGATTTGCCAAGAGGTAAAAAAGAAGGGCTGTTTCAAAACAATCTTAGTGATCTTTTGGGGAAGAAATCATTGTCTCACATGTTCAGAAACAATGTGTTTGTTTGCAGTGTTATTTATTTCTTTTGTGAGTAGATGTGATTTAAGTGTCTCTTAAAAAACTTAAGGGAGCATGCTAATACAGTGGCAGAGGGATTGCTTCAGGCAGTGATACATTCTTAAGAGCAGGTGCCTATCATGACAGTTCCCATAGACAGACCCCCAGGATGACCCCCAAAAGGCAGGCAGCTGTGTTGGTTTGTATTGCGCTCTCCGCCTGGGAATTGCCTAAGCGTGAATGAGCTGATCACAACATTATATTGTTGCTGGGAAAAGGTATTCCTCCCCTTGCCCCGAAGCTACTCTGAGACTGCAGCTAAGCTCAGAGGGGTGGCAATTACATCACAGTCCCTGCTCATCAGAAAGCCCTGGTACTATGGCCCTGTGTACCCTCACTCCACTATCCACCTGGTTCACCTGTGTCTCTTTGTCTTCAGATTTGTATCGGAGAGCCATGCTAGCTCTGAAAATGCAGCAAGAGAGACAGAAGCCACAATCTGCAGCTATTCCCTGAACCATGAGCCCGGGAATTCAAAACAGGTCTCTTGGAAGTGAAAATGCAGCAGCCAAGGACCTAGTTCTGTGGTGTTCCTCTTCAAAGTGTGACATTGTGATATTCAAAGAAGAGGCAAACGGGCTGAATCTCAGGAAGAGTGGAGATCTGAGAAGCTAGAACCCACTGCTGAGATTTGCAGGCTCATCCTAGGGAGAAGGGGAGCCACATTTGCAAAGGAAATATGAGGTTCTGAGGCAGTACCAGAGCCCCCTCTTCTGGCCAGAGGCCAGAATAGCAGCCCTGGTGGTTGCAGGACCAGGCCCGTGGTCAACCGCAGCTACCTGGAATGTCACAAGCACCACCGGGGAGCCCTAAGCAAAGAGCTATATAAGAACCGGCTCTTCCCTTCAGCCGTGGCCTCACCAGCAAAAGTCGCTGGTGGTGTTGTTGGGAGTGCTCTGTGCCTCCTGGAGATTGCCTGTCGCCTTGCTCCTGCCTCTGGATCATGCCTGGGGTCACCTGCTCCAGCTTCCACTCCAGTCCCAGGTATCTGCTTCTCCTCGGCTTGTTTCTTTGGCTTTCAGTGCCTGACTGGCATTGACTGCTCTGCTCTATTTGGATTGGCCTACCTTGCACTTCTGTTGCCCACCTGGACCTCTGGACTGCCTGACTGTGATTTGGACTGGGCCTGTACAGTGTACTGGTTGTCTGGGTCCTGGTGCCCCGACCTGATACCCAGGTGCCCACGCCCTGGATGCTGACAGGCAAGAAGAACGGCCCAGTGGCTCAGATCCTTGGAAGTCACCTGGTTCTCTTAGGGGTGACTAATAGGCAACTCCTTAGCAGTGACACCTGCATCTCCTGCCCATTTAGCAAAAGTGCAGTGCCAGGAATCCTCCAAGACTGGAACTCCCTTCTGGAGAGTCACCAAACCTTAGTCTGTAGAGTTTCCTGCCATAGTCTAAATCTACAATGGCTACATTCTTGTTAGCATGAACAATCCTGTTATTCTTAAAAAAGAAAAATAAATGTTCTTTTGAAAGAACATGTTTTAAAGAAAACCTGAATTTACACACACACACCTTCTTCAAAAAAGGAAAGAGCCCCTTGAAATGTGCATACACATGAGCCGGGCTGAAAAATAAAGAGCAATGGTCCTTGCATGAAAAGCCCAGGGGTGACCCAAACTAACGCAGAGGCACCTGGCAAGATTCAGAAGAAATTCTTGTCACTCTAGCCAAGCTGTTGCCTGACAGGCACCCCCAAAGTGCCCAGGCAGCTCAGCCAGGGCAAAAGCAGTTCCCCATCCAGTTCTGCAGCTGCTCAATGGAGGCCGGCTTGGACCGGGGGGTATGCTGTGAACTCCCTTGCAGGGCTTGCCATCCAAGTGGCTGTGGTGCTGGGCAGCCTGGTCTATACCATGGGCTGGCACTGGAGTTGATCTCGGCGGAGGTGCCAAGCACTCGCACCATGGCTCTAGAGGCCTACTCATGGGTTGGGATGAGGTCTGCCAGGGGTCCTTACTCCCCCGACAAGAGCTGGTGGCAGGGTAGGACCTGCAGTGCTCCCAGGGTGCCTCATCCAAGGCTCTGCTAGGTGCATCGTGGGGAGGGTGGCTTATAAGGCAGAGTGCTGACCTGCATCTCTCTATCCCAGTGCTCTGGAGCATCAGCACAAGGCCGGCACGCCCCGTCCGGCCTTTCTGTGGCCATGGGGCTGCCTGCTGCAGGCTGGCTAGACCTTTGATCTGATCCAGCACAGCTTTTAAATTCTTAAAAGCCTCCAAGGGTCGGTTGCAGAGCTTCAGATACCCGGTCTGAACAGCCACAGGCAGGGAGGTTTGGTTTGCTTCTCTTTTAGCACTGCCAAATGAAAAAGCTGCCTTCCGATGTCATCTTTGAGTGCAGTGATTTGGAGCGCAGACTCTACCTTATGCCTAGTTTCTTAGGATTATCATTATTATTTTAGCCTCACCAATGAGCCTTCTCGGGAATGGGTGTTTTGTGATCTTATTTAAGTATCAACGTTAGGATTTGTGCCTCTTTAAGAAAAGGAGGGAGGCGGAGACCACACGGCAAAGGGCGGTCCCGGGTTTGATCCTGGCTGAGAAGTAGGACGGGCGAGCTCCTGATACTCTGGAGAAGCCGAACTGGCCGAGGACAACCTCCGGAGCCGCCAGGTATTCTTTAACCCTGCCTGGGTCCAAACGTACCCTGTGGGTAAGGTCGCCGGCGCCACGCACCCCGGGCTCACCAGGGTCCCTTCCGGGAGGCTTGGGGCGCCGTCAGCAGGAGGCCCGCTAGGACTGGGTTCCTCCCAAGCCCTGAGCCTTTCGGTGCCCAACAGTGGTACCCGTGCCCGAGGTGGGAGCGCAGAGGAGCGCCGGCTTCCGCGCGCAAAGGCGCATTCCAGAAATCGGGCGAGGGCGCCGAGGCGCGGGGAGAAGCTAAAACCGAGGGTGACCGACCGGTGGAGACGTGCAGGTGGCTCCGAACAGTCCGCCAAATATTTCGCATCGCGGGATAGTGGCGAGCCGCACACGGCCCTTCAGGGACTCTCCGTGTCGCCAGCCTGCGGGGCTCTTGGAAGGCGCTGGGCGGCGCTGGATGCCGCCGCCGGGGGGGAAGTGCGCGGCTCTGTGCGCATGCACACGTGTTTGAAAGCTGGCCACAGTGCTGTGCGTTTTCGCACGGGAAAAAGTCCTACAACTCCCAACGTTCCGGCTGAGAGTTGTGTGGCTCCCCCCGCCCCCCCCCCAACACACACACGCCGTCTAAACATGCATCGGAATGAGCAAGGGAGCCATTCTGTGCAGGTTTAGACACGTCGGCTGGACATACTGGGAATGGGTCGGCCTTTTCTTCTGTCTAAACTGGCAAAGGATTGCAATGCTTTCAGTTTCTTTCTGTTTGCCGCTTAGAAGTGCAGCTCTTGTCTGCTTGTGGCCGTCCCTAACTGCTCTGTGCGAGCAGGGCGTCGCTGGACGTTCAGCTTGTGTCCGTCCTTTTCTTCGGGGACGCTGGGGCAGCAGAGACCTTCCCTGTGCACAGGGAGCCATAAACTCGCAGAACAATAGAGCTGGAAGGATCCAGCCCCCCGCCCAGTGCGGAACTCCGAGTTAAATCTCAGTTAAACCCACTGAAAGGATTGTCCAGCTGCATCTTGAATGCCTGCAGCATGAGAGAGCTCACAGCCTCCCTAGGCAATTGGTTCCACTGTCATACTGCTCTGAGGGTGAGGAAGTTCTGATATCAAGCTGGAATCTGGTCTCCCTAACCAGATGCCTGTTTCCTCAAGCAAATATGGGTGAACTTTTGCAGCCTGGTAAGGGACCTGAATTCTAGTCCAGAAATTTCTCAGTTCAAATTTTCTTTTTTCTTGTGGCTTGGAAGTAGCTAAATGGCCTTAAATAGGGCACTGTTGCTTAACTTACCATCTTCAAAATGAGTTTACTCATATTGCTCTACCTTACAGGGCTGCAGCAAAGATTCATGATCTGCTATACACCAAATATGTTGAACAGTCTAAAGAGCTATCAAATGTGACATATTCATTAATAGTAATAAACAATTTCCCTGTTTGTTCCTTATGGGGAGGAAATGTAACCTTTAGATGATCACACATAGAAGTTTTACCAAACAAAATGTTGTTTTCTCCATGACCTCAAGTGATCACAACAATGTAGCTTAATATGTTAGTTAAAAACAACAGTTAGGGTGAAAGGCTGCTTTAAAACAGACATGTCGGCAGCTCCCAGAAGGTTAAAAAAAAAATCTGTATTCCCGTTGTATGTTTTTGTTTTAAGTGGAATCCTTATGAGTCCAAACAAGGTGATGTACCTGAGGGACATAAAGGCACTTTTATCACCTGGAGGATTCCAGCCCCTTGTCTCCAAGGAATGGCAGTCAGCTGTGGACAGAGATTGCTGTCCTGCTTGCAAGCTAGCCAGCCAACAGCTCTGAGAGGGGCACTTCTTGCAACAGTTCCTGAGGACTGGAAACAATTCACAGATAGAAGGAATGAACCGAAGACGTTTCGGTGGAAAGAAAAGCAACAGAGGCGAAAGGACGGCTCCTGTGGTCTGGATTCTTCCTGGGAGGAGAGGTAAGAGGGCCTTCAGTCAATGCTAATGTACAACATGGTAACCCACCCTCAGGAGCTGAATAAGGGTTGAGTGTGGGCTGTCATTGAACCATCAGTTATTGTGGGTTATAGCATTGTCTGAACCCATCTCTGCTACCAAGCAATGCTTCTCAACCACAAACAATCCAGCTTCCAAAGTGGAATTCGCTCCTCAGGTTGAAAGGGCCTTGAGGACCCAGGCCTAGGCAAAAAATTTTTACTTCTGGGAAGCAAGCTGAGTTCTCTGTCTTTCTCACTCGGCTGCACTGTGTTCACCAGGTTGTCTGCTGCTGCTGCTGCTCCCCTGTGTGGACTCTCCTACGAGGAGCAACTGAAGGTGAGATGTGCTTGCACAGAGTTCATGGGCCAGAGAACCACCCTGCTTCTTGAAAATTAAGTCCCTCCTCAGCCTAGAGCCCTTACAAGGCAAATATGTCTATGGCAAGACAACCAAACTGGCTGATGCTACCGACCAAAGCAGGGGCCTTCTGTAGAGCAGGTCCTAAGAAAGCGGTCTCTCTCAAAGCATCCCTTAAACAGGACAAAATGAGGACCAGAGTGTCTCCGCCAAAGCCTTTATTGAATTTGAGGTGATCCCTCTTAGCCCATCCTGAGCTAGCGGGGATCCGTCTGTCCAGTGGAGACAGACAGAAAGTTCCCACCACTGCTCAGCTGAACCTCTTTGCTCCGATTCATCTGAAAGGAGGGCCCGTAATCCTGCAGGGTCTGCCTGCCGAAGAAGCTCGGTTTAGTCTCTGGATTGCCAACTAAGAAGAACTTGGATAGCAAGATGCCAAAAGAAATTGCTGCCTGTAGAGAAGAGGATGCTGCGTGGCAGAAGCTGATTGTTTGCTGCCTTACGATATATATAGAAACAACGTTAGCCATGTATCCCTTTAAAATAAAGCAACCTTAAGACCTCCCAATTCCCACTTTCCAGGGACAAAGCTATTGGCCGTCACCATCCTACGAAATGCAGAAAAGCTGCCAGGCCCAGCTTCTCCAACCCGGGGGCCTCCAGTTGTCCTGGACTTCAGTCACCATCAGCCCCAGGTAGCATGCTCAGAAAAGCGGGGAATTGTAGTTTGAAACATCTGCGGGGCACCAGGCTAGGAAAGGCTAGTTGGAGGGAGGGCAGTCCCAGGATTGCCGTTGATTAGCTTAGAAGCAAAGCCACTGGGTCTGTGTGTGTGTGTTTTGACAATATCGCTTTTAATTGTGTATCAGCTGACTTTGGGGAGCAAGAGGGTGCCCTCTTTACCCTGATCATGGGTAGGAGAAGGTATGGCTGTGGGGGCCAGCAAGCCAGCAGAGAGAAGAGGGGCCAAATAGCTCACCGTTACCCCCTCTCCTGGCCTCTCCTCCAGGTGGGGGTTTCCTGGCAGCCGTAGGAGCCAGTGCTTGGGTCTGGCGCTCCTGCTGCTGAATGCCAGCTCGGCCCAGAACAAGACCAGCCTCTTCCATGACATGATCATGGATGAGGGGCTGCTCTGGCTTGTGTTATGGAGACCTGGGTGGGGGAGCTGGGATGGGTCACTCTCTCTCAGCGATGACCCCCTGGGTGCTCCACTCCAGGCCAGGGAGAGGGGTGGCCGCAGTCTGTAGGAACATGATCCGGGCATCCTGTCCGCTCGAATGTGGTCCTGAGTGCTTGCACCTTGTGTGGGCACTCGAGACCAGTCAGGGATTCTGCTGGTGTACCTCCCGCTGCACTGCCTGAGCCGACAGAGGTGCTCTGGACTTGGTGTCGAAGACGCCCAGGATGATGGTTCTGAGGGATCTTTACGGAGGCTGCTGTATCTGGGGGTGGCTCAGGACTTCACGGCCGCCATGACAACCATGGGACTGCCTCAACAGGCTTCCCTTGAAACACCTCACACGCAGGCCTGCCTCGCAGGGTTGGCGTGCACCTTCGCAGCATGTCACATGTCTCCACTTAACATAACTTTGCCGTCCTTTTCCTTGTGTGTCTGCCAGGTGAAATATGAGAAAGTGAAGGTGGTTTTGCAGGCTTTGGCGTCTCTCCTTGAGGAGCTTGGTGCAGATCTCACGCAAGCAGAGGACGGACTGTGCTGCCCGCTGCAGCCCGTCATTCCTTCAGTGAGTACTTGGAAAGGAACTGGCCCTGTTGGGCCTGTGACACGGGGCTGCAGCCACCCCGTGGAACCCCCACAGACGTGCCCTGAGCCAGCCAAGGCTGGCCTTCAGTCTCCGGAGGCCTCTGGGTGGAATGGCGCTCCAGCAACCATTCTGAGACAGATGATATTCCACACTGGCTGCAGGCTGATGAGGCCCTCAGCAAAGTGCCACCTGGAGCATCTTCCTGGAAGCCAGCGCCGTACAGTCCCTGCAGCTGCCCAGAACACTTTCCCCACGGCCTTTCCTTGCTTCCTGGTTTCACTGCTGCTTGTTCTCTTTTCCAGCCTGTTATCAATGGTTACAGAAACAAGTCTACATTCTCTGTGAACCACGGACCAGATGGAGACCCCAAAATGGTGGGGTTATATGTAGGAACTGGCAGAGGTTAGTGCAATGCCATGCAGCTCTTGCCTTAGCCCCGGAAGGAGTGTTTTCCCACCTAGCCTGCTACGTCTTCCGTGCTTTGCAGTGTATCTCCTGTTTTTCAGCCAAGAGAGGGGAAGGTCTTTCCTGTCACCTGCTACCTGATCGTTTATTTAATTTTTTATTAAAGGATTCTAGAGATCAAACCAGACCTTTCTGTATGCAAAGTGGGTACCCCCCCCCCCCAAGGCTACCACTCTCTACCTTTAGTTGTAGCTTAGAGCAAAAGACCAGCTCCATCTCTCCTTTGGATGGGGAACTGTTCCAGAAATTGGGATTGGAGGGACACAGAGACTTTCCACCAATTGCACTTGTTTAATTGCATGCCAGTTGCTAAAAACAGTGGTACTTTGTGAAACCATCAGATGGATCAAGTGTGTCAGGTCACACATTAACAAACAATGTTGCGATTCTGCCCTTTTGCTTCAAAACAAAGCAAAACATTCAGAGTTTCTTCTGGAACACTCACAAGGACAAAGTATTAGCCTCTCTGCAGAGATTACTAAAATAAGAGCACTTAAATAAGTTAAATAAGGAACTGCAGAGCACCAAACTGCGTCTTGTGGTCCGTGATATTGATGCTCCATCCACACCGACTGTCTGAGGTTTTTGTTTCGAATGCCTTTGTTTGGTCCTGTCACTCTGCCTGCTGTAATCTCCTTTTGTTCAGCTTCTTCTGAGGTTCTTCCTATCCTCCCTTCCCATTTCCACAGGCAGGGACATGGTTTGTGTGCGGGCCAACCACTTGTTGAACATGCCTCAAGCCCACTTCCAGGTAGCCCAGGTAAGGATGGGGGGGGGGGACGTGTCGGTGGAAGGCCAGTGGGGTGTTTGATTTGTGGCAGAACACCACCTTTCTGTCCCTGTCCTGAAACCAGGAGCATCCTTTGCTGGGTTCAGCCAAGACTAGGGAGGGGCTGTGGCACAGTGGCAGCACCCCTGCCTTGCACATGGAAGGTCGCACGTTCATTCCCCACTGTCTCAGCATGGGGCCGGGAAGGGCCCCTGCCCAAAACCCTGGTGGGACAGTGCTGCCGATCAGTCTGGCCAGGACTGAGCTCGGTGAAGCGAGGGGCTGCCTCCACAGGAGCGTCTCACGCCCGTGTTCCGGTGACGTCGCTCATCTGACCTCTGTTCTCAAATGCAGCGCTACGAGGAGTTCCTCCGTCAGTCCCCGCCGGATTCCTGCCTCCTGTTTCACACTGGGGGCCACTGGCGGGAGGTTGTTGTGCGAAGCAACAGGAAAGGAGATACCGTGGCCATCATTGCCTCCCACCCGCAGCATCTGAGCCCCGTGAGTAGCCGGAGGCTGGGAACAGATGAGAAAGGTTGGCGTGGTGGAGGGACTGAAACCAAGTCCTAAGAGTGAGTCTGCGGGCAGGAGAGGTGCCCGATTTGCAGCCTCCCAGGGTTTTTAGCGCATCATCCCACTGGTGTCCAGACCCCCTTGCTGCTGTGAAATACCCCACACACACTCACACAAACAAGCTAAGTGCATGACCTTTGAGCGGAGTAACCTCAAAGGTCTTCACATGGATTGCTCGTCTCTTGGAAGCTGCTAGCAGTGGAGAAAGAGTCCTGGGCAGTGTGCATTGCTGGGATGCGTGCCTTCAACCCTGCGCATGCACGTGTGTGTGTGTGTGTGCATGTGTGCACACACAGTCTCTTGCTACCATTGCCCGTGGTCCCTGAACTGGAAAGTCTGGCACTCCTGGCGTGCAGGGACCTGCGATGCATTGGCCTCCTTGCCTGCTCAGGGGCAATTCACTCACTCCGAATACACGCTCAGCTTGGTCTTGTTGTGGCTGAAAGCAAGCGTGAGCAAATGCATTTCCTCCCCACTGGCCCTTGTTTTCCATGGGAAGACACTACCAACTAAGGTTTGCACAATATTTGCATTTTCCTGGCAGATTTTCTTTCCTATTGTTCAGCTCAGAAGGCTCCACAGCTCTTTACATGTTTAATTTCCATTTGGTGGCGTTGTATCCTGTTTTTCAAAATATGGACAAACGCAATGTAACAGTTCAAAGCCATGTGTCCAGAATGTGACCAGCCCTCTCCCTGCTCTATAGCTTTGGCCATTTTGCCTAGCTTTTCATTCTTCCTTTGCTTCTTTCACCTGCCCCCTATAAATACATGCCTGTAGCAAATTTGTAACAATGAAGGTTGTAATGCAAGCCTAGATCTCTGTCCAGGCCTCTTAATTCATTGGAAGCCATTCCAGTATCATTCCATGATTGCTGTTAGGCAAATAACATTATTTCTGGTTAAATGCTTTGGCTGCAAACTTCAAAATAAATGTGTGGCTGGTTATTTTGAATCTATATGTAGAACTTAGCCTTTCATGGTTCTTGGCCATGGGCATCTTCCTCTTTGCCCATTTTCTGTCCTCTTTGTTGGCCCCTGTCTCTGTCCTTTTCCTCTTGCCAATGGGCAACCCCTTCTAAGCAGCTTGCCTCCTTTAGGCCTCCTTTCTTGAGTTCCTGCTCAGATACTTCATTCCGTCTGAAGTCTGAGGAATAAAACTAACATAAATCAGTGCTGCTAAGAGCTTGAAGCTCTAGCACAGCAACTGCAGTGTCACAAGTTTTGGTATAAGCAGTATCCATGGATAGAGTCTTTATTCGCTCCATTTTCTTTGTTTATCCCAGGAGGAATGTTGTGCTCAGAAAGAATTGCTGAAGGACTTCTTCACTCATGGCCCAGGAGCAGCCTGTTCTCTGACCTCCCTTTATTTCCAGGAAAGGTAAATGACCTCCACACTGTGTATTGCTTTATGTCCCAGAGCTTAGAAGCGTTGTACTCTCTGTGGCAACTCCAGAATTTGATCCTCAGCCCATTTACTTCGATTGAAACCAAGTTAGACCCATGGAAATCAAGGAACTGGCATCCACGATCTAAACATGCTAATGCTCTCTTCCAAGGACCTTTGAAGCTTGCAGGGGAAGTTGGAAGTAAATTTAAGGCCAGAATGCAACACTGAGGATCTTCCTTGCTCACATGTGCACCCTGTGTGTGTGTGTGTGTGTGTGTGTGTGTGTGTGTGTCTCAGCAAGTTTCTAGCTTTTATGGTTTTGGAGGAAATCTTGAAAACACTCAGCATGAAACAAGGGGCAAAGCAAGCTGAGAACCTCACGCTGCTGAATTTTACCTTTGATGCCGATTCCATACTTGATCAGTAAAATGCAGCCCTGGCTTAATGGGTCTCCCACTTCGGCTTCCCTCTAGCACCATGGTTTGTGCCTCCCATCAGCAGTCCCCTTTCGAGCTGCTCTTTGGAGAACCACATATTTTTGAAGAGATACTGAACCTGAAATTTCGCATCTCTCCAGACGCTTTTTTCCAAGTCAATGCGGCTGGAGCAGAGGTTCTCTACCAGACCATTGGGGAATTGAGTGGAGCAGACAGGAAAGCTGTTCTCCTTGATATCTGCTGTGGAACCGGTGCGTGCTGGTCAGACAGTGGAGAAGAAGGGGATGTAGGGAGGGGACATGGCTCAGTCCAGTAGAGCTCCAGCTTGCATGCAGGTCCAGCCCTCAGTATCTCCAGTTGGACATAGGAAGGCACCCTGCCTGCGACCCTGGAAACTGCTGCCAGTCTGGGCTGACAACAATGCTGAGCTAGATGGAGCGTTGTTCAGACTCCATGGGCTCCATATGTTTGCTGTTACGTGTCTTGGACTTAGAGTGACCCCATGAATGCAAGTCCTCCAAAATGTCCTACCATGACTATGGGGTCAAGCCATCTCATCATTTGTCCTCTTTTAACGCTCCTGCTTTTGACTTTCCCCAGCTTGATTGTCTTCTGCAGGAAGTTTTGTTCCGTATGTAATTACTGAAATTACGAAACCTGTAGATCACCCCGCTCCAAGATTCTGTGATATTTATAGAATATATCCATTAAATTCCAGCTACATATGCCTGCATTCATATATACACCAAGGACTGTGTTCATTTATTATCCTTTGACTTGCATATCCTTAAGAGATAAGCTTCAGTACGGCCTTTGGCAAGTGAATTTGAACCTACAGCAGTGTGGAAACAACTCATGCTTTTCACCAATATTTGATGTTCATTTTTTTTATTTATTTATTTATTTAAACATTTATTAAAATATTTTTCACCCTCCCTTAGGTATTTGAGCATTTCCATAAAGGCCAGGATTTTGCTTTTGATTGGGCAACAAATGGAATTCTGCTTGTTTCCAAAGGCTGGGCAGTGAGCCCCCAGAAAACGTTATGGCGTGTTGCTTAGCTGCTGAAGTCCTTCTCATGCTCCCATCACTGAGGGCAGCTTGGTGGGAACAAGAGAGGCAGCCTTCCCTATCATGGCACCCAGATTGATTGTTTGTTTGTTTGTTTGTTTGTTTATTAAAAGCTTTTCTGTCCCGTCCTCTAAAACATCTTGGGACAGCTTACAAGAAATGATTATGGAATGGATTCCCTGCAGGGGGCACAGTGGGTTCTTCAAAGCTCATTTTTAAACAAGCAAAAAAAAGAGCTTTGTTTCCATGGCGTTGCTATTTAAAATCGCCAGGAGTTGTTGTGCCACTGCTTTTTATTGCTTTGAAGTATCTGAAGTATCTGCCCTTTTATTGGATTAAGATTGGTTTATTTGTATCTTAGGGCAATCTCTGACTGTATCACCCCCTTAGTGCAAATGATGTTGCTCTAGCAAATCTGAACTATATGAAAAGAAGAGTTCAGTACGACATCCGTGGGCTTTGTGCTGAATGCAAATTAACTGAATGGGAATGACTCAGAGTTCAGAACAGCTGCTGTTAAGAAAGCAATCTCTCTGAGGATTCCCATAGTCCTTCCTCTTGGCTCTGGACCTCATCCCAGTTGTGTTTCCCCACTCTGCGAGGTGCAATCGGCCTTTCTCTGGCTGGCCAGGCCTCCAAAGTCATTGGTGTTGAGCTGGTGGACCAGGTGGTAGAAGATGCCAGACGGAATGCAGCATTCAATGGTGTGAGCGCCATTTTGTTGAACAAGATGGTCTTTTGGATGGATGATGCTTTGATGTGGGAGGAAAAAAATATACCAGGCATGCCACCATGGGATGTGTTGGCACTGATGTGCCCTGGTTTTTGTGGTGTTCACTAAATGACCAAGTTCTGGCACAGTTTATTTTTGGTTAACACGTTTTCTTACTGGCAACTGGGATCCCTTTGAAGGAAAGCAAGGCTGCTCTCTTCATTTCCCAAGCACCTTTGGGCTCAGAGACATTCTTAGGAAATGAAGATGGTGGCAGCCAAGGAGAAGAAGGGAGAAGGAACAAGTTGTGGTGAAAACTGTGGATTTCAAGGAGTTGCTGGGTGTCTCATGGCTCAGACTCCCCTTCAGCCTTGTATATGGTACAACCTTGTTAATTGTCTGTTATGACCAGCTGCACGTTCCATGGCAGTCATTTTGTGGTGGTGCCCGTGACAGTCCCTCAAATTGCCAGATGTGCCCCCAGGCCCTCAAAGGTTGCGTCCCTTTGAAATAGGTTGACTTTGGTAGAGAGACAGGTCTTACTCAGCACCCCCCCACACCCCCACAGCTCTTCTGCTATCAGGTGCCAATAAAAAGTATTATCTACCCAATTCTGCTGCTGAGCAGTCAACATTAGTTTCGGTCATGCTTGCTGCCTCTAAGTTCCTTAGACCAGGGTGTTGAACTTCATGCCCAGGGGCCACATTTGGCCTGCTTGGGATCCCACTCTGGTCCCCCAGGTTCTCCCAGATGGCCACACCTCCTTTTCCCAGATTATCAATCCTTTGGTGCTTGCTTGGCTTTTGAACATTCCTTCTCCTACCCACAATTGTACAAGTTGAAAAGTATCCCCTAAGACCGTGTTACTTTCAGCTTCAGAAGGCTGGTATTTCTGGCCCTGCCTCTCTTTGTCCACCCATCCCGAGTACCTTTGTGCAATTACATTCTGGAAGCTGCTAGCAGTGGCTGAAAGAGGTTTCCCACCCCATCTTTGAGCTCAATTGATTCATGGGCAGCCACTCCAGAGAAAAAGCTCTTTTATTCCTCTTCCCTTTGTACCAGCTCCATTGCATTTAGGCCCAAAAAGAAGAAAAGAAGTTCCAAAAAGGGATGGCAAGAAATAACCCCCCAAATACAAAAGCAGCTAAATTGAATCATTAGAATGGTGCATGGTGGTCAGACCTTATTTGTATGCATTCCAGTTATAGCTTTTGGGTTGCTGGTTGCAGAATTTAGCTAATGAGACTTTTTTTGTGGGGGCAACACATTCTAGAATATGAGGAGGTTTACCTCATTGTCCAGAAAACTGGCAGGTGACTCACCTTCCCCATTTAGTCAAACCTTTCCATCCCACTAATGTTAGACAAATCCCACCTTACATGCTGTGGAAGAGAGTCAAATATAGGTGAGGAGGAGTGTGAAGTTCAATTATTCCTCACCCCGCATTTCTGAGACTGGAAGCATCTGTTGTTTCCTTAAAAAGTGACAGCCTCGTCCCTTTTTGGAAATTCACCTCCCACTCTTTTGCTGTCAAACAGCAGAGCTCACTTAATGGAGCTGCAGCTCTTTAGACAGTTCTTTAACAAAAGACTTAAATTCTTCTATCAGCAGATCAGAGGTCACTCTCAAGGTCATCTAGTCTGTCCCAATATTCTGCACTAAAATTCTCTCTTTGGACTCCCACGTATTTCTGTTTGGGCCCTGTCCTGCTTGAAGATCTGTGCTAGGCACATATAGAATGGTTCGGTGAACTTGCTTCCCTCCGTGAACTATTGTTTCCAAACATTTTCTGGTTCTTTCATGTCTTTTATTCCCCTTTCCTGATGAGCTTACTGCTTCTTACAGCAAATTGTCTGTGTGCTTGCTTCTAAATTGCCTACTGAATTCAGAGTCTTTGTCCTGATCGATGCAATTGGTTAAGGTGCTGGGCCTAAGCCTTAGAAAATGAGGGTGCTAGTTTGGCCCTGAATTTCATAAGCTTTAAGGGGACCCTGGAAGGCCCCCTGGCTCAGGCTGAGTTGGATGTAAGGATGCATGTTTAGCCGAGCGAATGTTCCATCCGTGCCTGTGCTGCTGGAAGTTAGGGCAACCCAGTCCCCTTGCAGAGAGCCGTCTTTTGAGGGAGAGCTCTGAAAGAGGGATCTCTCTTCCTTCGCACTTGAGGAGCTGGGAGAGGGCTTCCCTCGGCGCTGCGTCTCCCTCTCCCTGGCAGCCAAACCGAGTGCCTCGTCGCCCGTGCCGTCGACTGATCAGCTCTCTTTCCACAGGGATTGCCAGTGCTGAATTTCACGCCGGGAAGGCGGAAGTCATCCTGCCTCACCTGCTGGCAGCATGGCCAGATGGGCAGCCTCTTGCTGCTGTGGTGAACCCCTCCAGAGCTGGGTTCCGTGAGTTAGCGCTTTCTTTGCCAGATGCAAATCCAAAGCAAAACTGCGGAGGAAATGGGTCCTGCTATCACGCGGGTTGGCCACTTCCTTCTTTGCAGCAAATGAGACGTTGCTGCAGTGGCTTCCCAGTTCTTGAGAGAGAAAACTCCCTCTCGGCTGCAGGGACTCGATTTCCAGCAGGTGCGCAGAGTCATGGTGGGCCAGGAAGACTTGCATGCAGTGGACCGCAGGAGACCAGAGTGGCCCCCTCTAGTCCCCCTCACTTTGCCAGGACAACATGGTTGACCTGGGTCTGCAGGTGACGTTCGCTCCTCTCCAGCTCAGCTGCGCCCCTGGGTGCCTGACAAGCAGCTGGAATGGCCTGGCTGGAGCTGCGAGTGCAGCCTGCTGCTGTTGTCTTCCGCTCTTATCTATGTCCGTTTGACTGAACTATTGGACTGCAGCTTTTCCTAAGAAGAATATGTGCATTGCACCCGAGACATCATAGTGCAGAGTTGAAAGCAGCCTTCCTTAACCTGGCAACCACAGGATGTATTGGACTGCAGTTCCTATCATCCCCAGCCAGCATGTCTGGATGTGGACAGGTAAGGAGCTTTCCCAGCCACCCAAAATTCCAAGCCCTGACTTCCGGTCTGCAAAGCACCTGCTCTGCCACTGTGAGCTACGCTGCCTCCCAAGCACCGTTCGTGTGAGTGGCTCCCTTCTCCCAGTGCGAAAGAATCCTCCTTTGAAAAACTCAAATCAGATTTGGGAACAAATCTCCTTCTGGCATCTTCTTGCTGCCAAAACCCAGCAGTACGTTGTCCGTTCAAAGACTGTTGACCCAGTTCACATGCCGTGTGTGTGTGCCCAGTTCCTCCTGCTGCAAATAGGTGCAAATAGCAAGCCTTTGGTCCAAGGCTTGTTTAGTGTGATGTGTGATCTGGCCTGTGAGGAGAGGAGAGGAGAGGAGAGGAGAGGTGGTGCGTCAAACGCAAGCAAGGGGAGAGGGGCAAGCGTATGGTGCAGGTTTGTTCGTCAAACTCAAGCAGGGGTGGCGAACTGATCTCCTCTGGCATATTTTGGTCTGCACCTTCCACCAGCTTAGCCTGCTGGCCAGTGGCAAGGGGTGGGTGGGGGTGTAGCCCCCCAAATCTGGAGGGCCACAAGTTCCCCCTCCTTCAGCTGTTCAGCCATCCCTTCTTGGAGCAGGAGTGATCAGGCAGCATTCGTGAATTTGGAAATCTTAGCGATGGTGACTCTCAGTACTCCCAGAGACATTGTCTAACCATCAGTGGATCCAGAAAGACTGGTTATCCCTCAGCATCTCTTGGGCTTTATGTTTACAATGGGCAGTGTACTCTTTGTTGTAATGAAGAAAGCCTTCTCTGGAAACACCTCAGGGTTTTTTCTTTCCTGCTCTCTTTTCTGCTCTCCCAGATTACCATGTGGTTAGAGCCATTCGCAACTGCAAGGCCATCCGGACACTGGTGTATGTTTCGTGCAAGCCAGGTGGAGAAAGCTTCAGGAACTTCCTTGAGTAAGGCGCTCAGATGTGGTTTTTTCCCATTTCTGTTAACAGATGCTTACATAGAGAACTCCTGACACAAGTACTTCGGGCTTTTAAAATGTTTGTACAAAGATTGTTGACAGGGAGACTGCAGGCGTAAAGGCTCCGCCATGGTTACCAGGAGTTCCTTATAGAGCAGTCCGAAATATGTTTAAGCAGAAGCAAGTCCCACTGGTTTTCTTGGGCTTTGCTAACAGGTCAAACCCCCCCTTGCCCCATTGCTTGCATCAGCCAGACCGCAGCCCAAAGGCGCTTCCGTGAATTTTATTGATGGTTTTCCCAGTTACAGGCACCTAAAGCCTATTCCGACTTCAACTAGATAGGGGAATTTATGCTCCATAGACAGTAACAGGCTGGACTGTATACCTCACAGAAGGGATCTCCTGGATGAACGGCCTGTGAAGAGCGCAGGGCTGTTGCCCGCTTCCCCAACCGCCCCCATGTTGGCTCATCTCTAAAGCACAACTCTGTCTGAACCACAAGTCTTCCTCGCTTTCCAAAATGAAGCTAACAAATTGCTTATTTGGTTCAACCTGGAGTTTGCCAGTAAAGGGAGAAAGGAAAGGCTTGCTTTCCCCCAGGGAGGCAGACTTAAGCAGCTGGGAATCTCTATCCACACCTCAGAGTGTGTACCTGCTCCTGGTCTTCCAGGGCATGTCCACCTTTACGGTCCCTTTTTGCCTGTCCTTCCATGCACCTGGATTTCCTCTGCTGCTGCTGCTGTTGTAGCTTCCCCTGTGTGTCCAGGCTGATAGCAAGTCCAGCTTCTTTGCCGGTTTACTCTGGGGTGGCAACTGCTCACCGAGATATCAGAGCAGGCATCTTTCCCACCACCTGCTTTTCTAGGGACTGAACTTGGGCCCCTTGGCATGTTAAGCTGCGTGGCTTGGCTCTGAGCATTGGTCTCCCCCCCTCCCCCCCACTGAGAGGAAGGCAAGGCCACCCAGGTGGCATTCAAGGCTGCCGAGGGTTGGGACATAAGTAGAAATTCCATAGGTTATACTGGGATGCTGAGCCTCGGGCCTCTGGACCAAATCCAGTCCACTTGGGGAGACTCCGTCTGGCCCACCAAGAAACTCATGCCCCTGGAATGCCCTTCTTTTTCCCTGCCAACAATTTATTGGCAGTTTCCCAGCTTTTGTTCAGCTTTCCCCCTCCCAAAAGCGTTGAAATGCCCCTCTCAAGCTTAGTTATTGGCAGTGTCAACCTTAAAACATGGTGGTGCTGTCTCCCTGTGCTTTGAACTGTGGTCCTCCCCACCGCTGGAATGTGGCCCCGGAGAAATTAAATTCAGATGAAGAAGGGTTGATGCCCCTGTACTGTGCTTGTGATTGTCTCTTAACAGCACTGCTATAAGCGGGGAGAATGTAACAATTAGTAATTTGCATGCATTGCGGGAGGTGCATTTGCTCTGTGCCTGTGCTTTAAAAGAGAAGCGAGTTAAAATAAGGCATCTTCTAAACAGTCCTTTCCTCTGCTTTCTACTAGGTGTTGCTGCCCATCAGACCCCAAGAAGAAGCTTACAGGGGAGCCCTTCGCTCCTATTTTGGCTGTCCCTGTAGACCTCTTTCCTCACACAACCCACTGTGACGTTGTCTTGCTTTTTGCCCACTGAGTGGCCTTCCAGCTCTTCCTGGCATCTTGTTTTGCCCTTGCAAAATGGTGCTCGGACCACTTTTGAGAGCAAGAACTCACCTTTCACAGCAATGTGCACTCTGAAATAAAACGGGACAAAAACTGAGAGACCTTGGGATGTATTGGACTCTCTAGCATCCAGAAGCTGCTAGGGAGCACGTGTGTTTTTTCCATTTGAATTAAAGCTAGAAAGCATTTTTGTATAACTAATGTGCTTGGCCCAAATAGCCTGTTCTTACATTCAGGGTCTGGGAAGAGAGGAGAAGCAGCAGAAAACATGAAACAGCACTGAGACTGAGAGTGCACCTTTCAGGTGGCTGCCTCATAGTGAGACAGATCATGGATCCATTTAGCCCAGTATTACTGACACTGACCGGTAGTAACTCTCCAGGGTTGTCTTTCCCAGTCCTACTTTGAAATGCTGGGAACTGAGCTGGAATCCACAGTGTGAGGAGCTCTGCTGCAAAGCCACGGACTTTTGTTTCCAAATGTTTATCCTGGTCAAGCTTTCCTCCTCCTCTGGTATTGTGGCTCAGTTCAGATGTGGTCTTGTCTTGCCAGTCCTTCAAATCATGTTTTCTGTTTTTTGTTTGTTTGTTTTCGGAGGGTGTAGATCAGATTGGTCAGTGGGCTTGTGCATTCCTTCATTCAGAGAATTTAGCATGTTGAGACCCATCAGCAGCTGCTCAGCGGATGTCACAAAGAATTGGGGAATTGGATGACTTTGAGCACATTCTCCGCCCAGGAAGTTGTGATCACAATCAAAACCATTTTCACATGTCCTTTCACACAGCCACCCACTCCTGGTTTCCCACCAGTGCTCTTTTAGGTGTGGGAAAGATGTTTCTTTGTTGTTGTCATTAGACAGCTTGCCGCCAGAAATCCTTGCTGATAGATTGGAAATTATCCAGATTCTTGCAATGGGTTTTGCTCCCTTTAGGTAAGGCACTGCACTGCTCTGGCTTGGATGGTTTTTTCTTGATGCTTAAGCTTCCAGGTTTGGCCCCAGCATCTTCAATATATTTATTTGCAGTATTTATATACGGTTAAATATAATAATATCCTTTGGCGGTTAAAGGATCTCCTGTATTAAGCCCGGGAGGCTTGGAGCTACTGAAAGCTAAAGTGGCCTAGGCAGACCAATAGGCTAGCTGTGTGTAACACAGCATGGAAATCTGGGTGGAGCATCTCTTAAAATGGCACGAGGAGCAGTGCCTTGCTGACGGCTGCCTTTGTAAAATGAGCATCAGAAATAGCATGCCTCCTCCACATTCAAGGATCTCCTTCACTGCCCTTCTGCTTCTGCACTTTGAAATGAGCGGGTTTGCTTGTAGGTAAGGTAAGAGCTTGCTTCCGGAGAGCCAGTGTGACTTCGTGTGGAGCTGGGGGGACCCCAGTTCCAGTTCTTACTCACCTTTACAGCACCCTGGATGACTTTGGACCAGGCGCTGACTCTCAGTCTAGCCTACCTCACAGGGTCTTTTGGAGCATGATATAGGAAGAGGCTTACCTCGAGTTTTGTTCTTGCTGCTTCGAGTTTCTTGCAGGAGACACACACACACACACAATAACCATGCAAATTTGTATTCCTTAGACCTTATCTCATTATTTCCTTACTCTTTGCCCATAGTTGCCTGTATTCCTGCCACAACACACCACAATAAGCTGAACATCCCAATGTGTATCATTTGGATAAATATGTGTATTGTGAAGCACACGGTAACACATCTGAAACGCAGAGGAAGGGCATCCTTGCTGCATGCGTGTTTATCTTTCAGCTTGCAAGGAGGCCCTTGGCAGGCTCGCTCTTGACTTTGAAGAGTACACTGTAAATTATTTCATGTTGTGTGGTGTAGAGGCAATATGGTGCGATGGTTAGAGGGCTGGATTAGAACTGGGGGGAGCCAGCGTCTAGTCCCCACTCAGCCACGAAGTTTACCAGGTGACTTCATGGCAATCGCTGATTCTCAGCCTGACCTACTTCACTGGGTTCTTGTGGAGACATAACAGAGAGGAGGAGAATTACACAAATTGCCTTGGGTGCATAATCTGTCCTGCAGACTTCTGGGACTCGGGGTGGAGTGCTGTCCATGCTCTTGGTTACTGCACCCATTTAAAGAAGGAGACATTTTGCTTACCCCAAGCTGTATACAATCCATATGAGTACAGATGGGAAATTTGGGTGGATGAGAAGAGCACAGTGGCTGGTGGATACATTTTATGTATTCATATCATTTCTATACTGCTTTTCCTTTTAAAAAATCTCAAAGTGGTTTACAACTTAAAATTGTGATAAAATACAGTAAACCCATCATTAAAACAACAAAATGAAGATAACAGAATCTCATTAAAATACCCAGGCGTGGCTATCAATGCTAGAGGTCAGAGAAGCACCTGAGCAAACGGATGTCTCTCAAGTTGCCAATAGAAGCAATTCACACTAGAAGGTCACTTGATTTCAGTTATCTTGAGCAGGGGGTGCCACAACTAGAAGTCCCTGCTCCCCTCCATGGATCAGAGAAGCTTCCTCTCTGAAAGCGGAGACCAGGGAGGGTGGCAGGGTGAGCACAGGTCATTTACTTGCACTTGAGAGAAGAAAGCCCCAAGTTCCCAGAGGCAGCCAGTGGTCCTACCTACCCCATCTTCATTTCTATACTCTACTTGAGGATCCAAATAGCTGAAGCACCCAAAGGTCTCACCTGCCTGGCGGATTTAAAAACAAAATTGAGAGGAATTTTGAACAGCAGACATTCCGGCCCTGTGAAAATTGCTTTGGACGATAGGTTTAGAGACTACCGTCTCACTGTCGTCCTGGCAGTGGGACATTAGGACCCAGAGGTGGCTGAACAGGAGAGCTGAATGCCTCTGTCTTTTGTCATCTCTGCCTCTGCAGCCTTCCCTCTGCCGATCTCCTTCAATGGTGACTGACCATCTCCTTCCCCAGCCAGGGCGCCAGACCACCGCAGCGTGACCTCCATGGCCTCTCCCAGGACTATAACCATTGTGGCCCTCTCGGTGGCCCTGGGGCTCTTCTTTGTCTTCATGGGGACCATCAAGCTGACCCCGAGGCTCAGCAAAGATGCTTACAATGAGATGGTGAGTAGAGCAGCGGCGTGGGAGACATCTTGCGGACTGCTGCGTTGTGCTCTGTGAGCAGGGTCGGCTCCAAACCGGGAGACAGCGGCCACTGGAGATGCTCCCAGGGCTGGGAAGGGGGCAGCTGCCACCAAAAATAAAAATAAAACAGAGGCATCTTATCTGGCTGGGAACACAAAACCCCTGGACCTCCCCTCTGCTCCTGCTGCTAAATCCATCCTTACTGTTAGCCAGTGGTTTAGGTATTTTGGCATTTCTTTCTAAGGCTGTTTCCTTCTAGAGCACACAAAAAAAAATCTTAGACAGTGAAGCAGGAGGAAAAACACGAAGAGGGAAAAGACAGCAGGGGCAGTGCTGTACAACAAATCGATCTCTCTGCTCTAAGGAGAAGCGACCCATTGCAATATAAACACCTCTCATTTGGGTTCCACAAGGGGGGGGGGGGGTTGGCGGTGTCCCAGCGTGTGGGTGGTGGGCAGCCAGCTCTCCGGGGGCATCTCTTTGCCTCAGAACAATCCAGAGTGGATCCCCTTCTCACGCACAAGCCAAACAGGATGAGTTGGCCCACATCATGCTGAAATGGCCACAAAGAGTCACTTGCCTGGTTTATGATCTGGGGGGGTGGGGGAGGTGGTGTCATTTTGCATCAAATTGTCTCGTGCTACCTCTGGCAGAGAGCAGTGCAATTCGTTCCCCATCTCTCCCCAAGAGAAGGTTCTAGAAAATGGCAAATGTGAGCCACACTGGCCTGAGATTTCCAGCTAAGAGAAGAGAAGCCGCATCTGACTCCCAATAGCCCTTACCCCTCTTTCCTGCCCATAAGAAATCCACCACTGAACCCCATCTGTGTTGAGTTGCAGGCAGCTGAAGCATCACGGCCCCTCTTGTTCAGACATTCTTTCTCCTCCAGCATGTTTTGCTCACCCTTCATAATTTTATTCCCTTAATGAAGTAACTGGAGTTTCTTGGGCCCCAGGAAGCACAAACAACTGCAAAACTTTCTAGCATGTTCTATTTCTGCCTTGTCGGAGCTCTGAACATGAGCTGAATGAATCTTAGTTGCTCCAGTTGTGTCAAGCTGTCTCCCTGGAGGCTTGACGAAGCGTTTTGGGAAGTGAGGAGTGTAGGAAAATCGCAGCAGTGTTAAAGCATGACAAGCTGAGCATAAAATCTGATGCTCTTCAGACCCTCCTTTCTGGCCCATTCTTTATTTATTTTTATCTTTATTTATTTTTATAGAGCAAGACCATGGTAATGCTAGCAGTAGTGCCTTTGCTTTTAGTGAGCTATTTTTGCTGTGATTGTTTAAATTAAAAAGGGGGTTCATAGCTCGATTCAAAATCCCTCCAACATATGCCAGGTTTCCCTTAACCTGCTCATCATGATGCCTCTCCCAGCCTCCAAACTGGATTAAAAACATATACGTCCACACCTGGAACAATGCTCATTGTTTTCCTGACTAGAGAGAGTTCCAGCAATTGGATATTTGGTGTCTACAACATGACTCATTCATGTAAGAACATGAGAAAGGCCGCGCTAGATTATCCCAAGGGTCCATCTAGTCCAATGCCCTGTTCACTCAGGGCCCAACCAGCTGCCCAAAGGAAACCCACATGCATGAGAGGAGTGCCACAGCATCTTCTCACCCATGTTCCCCAGCAACTGGTGTACGTAGTCATACTACCTCTGATACTATTCAAAGCACAGAGCCATCCAAACTAGCTGCAGTTACAGCCTTCTCCTCCAGGAATTTGTCCAATCCCATTTTTAAGCCATCCAAATTGGGGACCATCACTTCATCCTGTGGAAGTGACTTCCGCAGTTGGATTCTGCACTGTAAGAAGTGCCTTTTATTTCTCCTAACCCTCCCTACCAGTCAGCACGGGTTCTAGTACTCTGGTACATTACTTCCGCGCTTGCAGCACACCAGAAATTCCGTACCCCTCTATTTTGTTTCCTCTTGTTCACTGTTTCTCGAAGCTAATCAGTCCCAGTTGTTGGACTCTTTCCTCACAGACTAGTTGTCCCTGCCCGTTCCTCGTTGTACTTGCACTTCTCTGGACTTTTTCCAAATTGTACAGGAACCCTTTTGAGCTGCTGTTTCCAGAACTGCATGTAGGATTCCATAGATATATATAGCAGCAATATGGTACTGGCAGTTTTTATTAGCAGTTCATTTCTAATTACATCTGATGTTGAATTTGCCTTTCTCACAGCAACCCTACCCTGGGTTAACATTTTCACTGAGCTGTCCAGCACAACCTAAAGATCTTTTTCTCGGTCGCCACAGGTTCAGCTGTGAACCTAATTCCCATTAGAATTTTTTGCCCAAGCATGCATCACTTTCACTTGTAAACCTAGGCCCACGTTTGCCATTTTGAGGCCCGTTCTCTCACTGTTGGCTTTAACCACCCTAAATAGTTTGGTGCCATTAGCAAACTTGGCCACTTTGCTACTAGTTCCTAATTTCATATCATTTATGAATAAGTTGAAATGCTTTGGTTCCAATATGGATCCCTGTGGGATCCCACCGCATATCCCCCCCAAAAAAACACACACGCACACTTCACTGGGAAAAATTCACATTCATTTCTACCCTTTCTGTTCTTTAACCAGTTACTGATCCATAAGAGGACCACTCCTTTTATTCCACGACTGCTAAGTTTGCTTAGGAGTCTTTGTTGAGTGACTTTGTCAAAAGTCTTTTGGAAGTCCAGGTAAGCTACATCTGCGAGATCATCCTACCCTTATGTTTGCTGACACTTCCGAAAAAGGTCAGTGAGGCAGGACATTATGGCAACTATATTGATTCTTTTGAGCAGGACTTGCCCTTTTGTATACCGTATTTTTCGCTCTATAAGATGCACCTGACCATAAGACGCACCTAGTTTTTAAAGGAGGAAAACAAGAAAAAATATTCTGAATCAAATGGTTTACTAAACTATTTAATAAACTATAACAGAATACAGTAATACCGTATTTCAACCTTGTAAAATGAACAGCAGTCAACAGTGGCATTAAGAACCATCATCACTGTCATTAACAAAAGAGAGACTTTAAAGTTCGAGTACTCTTCTAGTTTTCATTGAACCCATAGAACTCATCACCACTAGAGCCAGAATTTATGAAGCTCTGTTGCTCACAATCACTGACATCACTTTCTTAGTCAGTAGTGGAATTATTGAAGGAATCCATAATCTACACCAGTTATACAAGAGCTGCTGCAGACAATTCAATAACAAATCTAAAAAAGCCAGTAATGTCCACGCTGCCCTACTAGTAAATAATACAAAAAAAACTTCTGACAAAAAATGAGATATTGTACAGTAAATCAAACGCACAGCGGACTAAGTAGCCTTTGAAGAATAAACTTCACACACGAAGGTAACGCTGTTCAAATATCCACTGATCCTAAAAAAAATGTGTCTGATCAACTAACAGATAACTGATCCATGGAAAGCTTCCTGATAATCACAGGTACATTCCCCATCACTTCCCCATGGGCTTCATTAAAAGATGGGGTGCCATTTGAAAACACACACCAACCTGTGATTAACAGCTCTCACCTGCACCGGAGGAGGGAGGCGGAGCAGGGTGCACCGAGCGCGTGCCGGCCAGGTGGTGCCACGTGGGGCCGGCAGCGTGCCAGCAGTGGTCTTCCGGGCAGCGCGGCAGAGGCAGGTCTTCCCGGGCGGTGGGGGTGAGCAGTCCGTCTCTCCGTGTGGCCAGCGGGTTAAAGGCCGCGGCTCCTCCTCCTCCACACACCTCCCCCTGAGCGGCACAGCTCTCACCTGCGCGGAGGGGGGGGGCAGAGCAGGCCGTGCCAAGCGCGTGCCAGCCAGGTGGTGCCACGTGATGCAGGCGGCTGGCAGCGTCCCGCACCTCGGGCACACACACATTCGCTCTATAAGATGCACAGACATTTCCCCTTACTTTTGAGGTGGGGGGGAGTGCGTCTTATAGAGGGAAAAATACAGTACTTATTAATTTTTTCTATAATAATGTTTTCAATCATTTTGCCTGGTTAAGATAACCAGCCCGTAATTTCCTAGATCCCCTCACATTCCTTTAAAAAAAATTGTGTTGACCATTCTCCAATCATCTAGTGCAGGCTAATCTTAGTATTACATATTTTTGTTAAAAGATCAGCAATTTCTTATTTAAGTTCTTTAAGAACTCTAGAATGGATACCTGTGACAGTTGAGTTTTTCAGTTTTGCCACTGCTATTTGTCTCAGTTCCTCAGTCTCCCTTCCTTGAAACGTCAGTTTATACATAGATATCTGTCCTGAATCCTACGCTATGAAAACTGATGCAAATGATTCATTCTGGTTCCCAAGAATCTCCTTAGCCTCCTTGAGTAGTCCTTTAGCTCCATTATTGTCCAATGGTCCTACTGCCTCTCTGGCTGGTTTCTTTCCTCTGATCTATTTTAAAAACTTTCTATTGTTGGCCTTTTTGTTGTTACAAATATGCTCCTCAAAAAGCTTTTTATATCTCTCCTTGTTTGCTTGCATCTCCCTCAGGCAAGCTTGCACTCCCTATGTTTCTCCTCATTTGGGTGAGGAAAGGAAGACTTCTTTCTTTGCAAGAGCTGCCCTGACACTGCTCAGCAACGATGCAGGTGACCTCCAGGACTTCAGGCTGTTATGCATACTATTTGAAATTCTATTATTGTGGTATCAATTAATCTCCAAGCATTTTGAAGGGGTTTAACCCTCTCAACTCCCCCTTTCAACTTTCTTTCTACCATTTGCCTCATGTTAAAGAGTTTCCTCTTTTGAAGTCAAATGTGACTGTGTTGGACCTCTTTGGCAATCTTCTACTTAAATGTATATTCAATCGGATAGTTCTGGCTTAAGGGATGATAGCATGTTCCTCATATTAAATTACTTCTGAAGTCACAGAAGTCGCCTACACTGCTCCTCTGGAAGACTCCATGCCTTTTAGTTTTCCATGCCTTTTAGCCAGATGATATTCACTGTCTGAGGTATAGGGCAACCCCTCTTCCAGTGGCCTCTTCCCTGTTCTTCCTGTAGAGTTTATAACCAGAGATGCCTGTATCTCACTGGTTTTCTCCATTCTACCAGGTCCCCATAATGCCCACCATATCTAACTTCTGCTTTAAAACCAGTGTTTGCAATGAAACACCTAACCACAGTACCCTTCTTCAGATGCATGCAGTTTCTGCTTTGGCACTTAGTCCTTTACAGCGGGTTGTCATGTCTCACCATAAGCTTGTGATTTATTTCCTTCCCTCCTCCGTCTGGTCAAACAGAAACATTTCTTCTTCATACCCTAGGGACTATTTAAAAGCTGGATGCTTCCCAGCTCCTGTCAGCTTTCTCCCAGCTTCCATTCACAACAGAGCAGCTGTCTCCCAGGAGCTAAGACCCTCCTGTGTCTTCCCCAAAGACTTCTCTGCATCTCTGAGCTTCTCCAGGCCAGCAACCTTAGCTTTGAAGGAATGAACTTGTCCCCTGAGAGCCAGGAGCTTATTACACCCAGAACTTCTCTGTGTTTGGCAGATAGGCATACATGTGGTACCCAATACAATCTCCTAGATAGCCCCCACACCCCTGCAGGCTGACTACTGAGTTGTTTTGGTGGTGATTGAATCAATAGTACTCGTTTTACATACCTGGAAAACGAATTGGTTTAGTAGGAGAAGGTGAAGGATTTACTTACAGCTGCTAATGTATAGTTTTCAGCTAAAGTATTATGAGAAGGAAAGAAAGAGTCATTTGCCTGACTTCCCCACCCAGTTGCCAAACTCACATAGTTGCTTAACTTGTTTGTGTGCTGATGCTTCAGCACTGGGACTCCTTGTGATTGGAGAGCTTACTTATAAACTCCTAATTTAAATTTGGAATTTACAAGTAAGGCCATTAGCAAAAGGTAAGTTTTTGCCTGCATGACCCTGCACCTTAACTCTGTGCCCAGAGAGCTTCTTTTTTTCCAGATGTTCCCAGGTGAAAGTCACAGGCTACCCAAACTAGAGGCACCCACAGGGACCACATGGTTAGCAGTGGGGGAACTACAAAAGAAATGCCAATACTTACAAATAAATCCATTTTCATTATACCTAATCATACCTCCTTTTTTCTGGTGGTAGCAGCAGCCCTCTGGGTATATATTTCCTGGCAGGTCTAGAGAGAGAATGGAAGCTAATTGTGATAAATAATATTGCTTGGACTTGGCTTATGAACTATATGTGCTGCTTTGTTAGGTATTGCCAAAACTGGAAAAACATTCCAATAAGCCTAACAATACAAGCAAGTTTTCTTTATGTTTACTTAGAAGTAGATCTTGGTGAGAACTATGGGGCTTACTCCCAAATAAGTATACAGTGTGCCTGAATGGCTGGTTAAAGCTCTTTTAAACTAATAAAAGCGTTTTAAGACCATGTTATCTGAAGATGGGGTGGGCAATGTGTGGCTCTGCAGAAGTTTTTGGCCTGCAATCCCTAGGATAGCTCATCACTGGGCAATACTGGCTAAATCTGATGGGAATTGTATGCCAAAACATCAACAGGCCAATGGTTTCCCAACTCTGTCTTAAGATGCCTGGATAAGTTTGTCTGGACACTGGAAGCTGCACTGAAGTGCCTGTTCTCCATGTCATGCAATGCAGTCCTTGGATAAGCCCAAGAAACAGGGCCTTTTCTGTGGTGGTGCCACAGATCTGGAATACTCTTCTGCTTGAGATTAATTAGTTTCCATTACTTTCACCTGAATCACTTTTGTCAGGCATTCTTATTTCAGCAGGGATTTAGTGTGCAGTTTTAGGTGAAGGATGCTTGTTGATTTTATTGTGGTTTTTTGGGGTATATGTACTGTCTGTTTTATATTGGTTTTAATTAATTGGGTATTATTATTACTGTCTTTCATTCTTTGCTGTTGAGGATCCTCAGTGCATCATCATAATCTGCAGACTTTGTATGTATGTTTCCCCTAAACTGGGGTGCAGGGGAAAATTTCAGGGAAAAGGAGCATTTTTAGAACTCCAGAATATTAAAAGACTCAAATTTCATTTGTTTATCTATCTTTAGCTCTGAAGCTGCTATGGAATGTTGGAATACTCAAATTTATTTTGTAGGCAGGCTAAATTGGATCATTTTAGCATTACTAAGCACTACAGAAAAGTTTTCCATTACTTTTTTTTCTTTTAGTGTTCATGGGGATTCTCCACCATTGGGAAATGTCCACTGGAGGTTTGCAGCTGCTGTCCTTACCCTAAATATTCAAAGCCCATCTCAGGAGTTCCTAGGTCTAATGAAGCCTTTCTGTGGTTTGAGAATAGAGTTCAATACTATGTGGCAACAAAGCTTGGGGAAAGGTCCTGCCCCAAGATGAGGGTGAATTTCCTGAATTTCTAACCTCGTAGGGGGAAATATTGGTTGGTCCTTATGGACTTGATTGATATTTCAAGCACAGCTTTCTTTCAGATTGAAGCAGGACTGTACTAGGAGCCTGCGAGTGAGACAAGGGTCCCCCCAGAAATAAGCCGTACGTCCACGGTCAACTGTTACTGAATGCCGCACTCTTGCTGTTTTGATTGCAGAAACGGGCCTACAAAAGCTATGTCCGCGCACTGCCCATGCTCAGGAAGATGGGCGTCAGCTCCATCATTCTCCGCAAGAGCATTGGAGCCCTAGAGGTGGCCTGCGGCATTGTCATGACACTGGTCCCCGGGCGCCCCAAGGACGTAGCCAACTTCGTGCTGCTGCTGCTTGTCCTGGCTGTGCTCTTCTTCCACCAGCTGGTGGGGGACCCCCTCAAACGCTATGCCCATGCCCTAGTCTTTGGGATCCTGCTTACCTGTCGCCTACTGATTGCCCGTCAGCCTGAGGAACAGCTGCTGGAGAAGAGGACCCTGTCCGTGAATGGAGAAGAGCAACCACTCCTTTCAGAAGCTGCCCCAGAGAAGGGCAAAATCAAGGTCTCCTAGTGGGGTGCCTTTGAGGGACACACACAAACTCCCATGCAGCTCTCTCCCCACCCCCCAGAAAACCTAAACAGATTTGTGGGTCTTTTTCTTTTATTTTTCGTAAAGAGTTATCTCTTGGAGCATGGGGGAAATCCTTAATTTTGCCCGCTAAGCAACAACTGGGCTTGTGCACTCCAACCCTTAGAGCTGCCCTCTGCTGTACCCCCCGACACACGTGTAGACGTGACTTCGATTAATGGATCTAGAGGGGAATAAATGTATCTTGTGTTGAGTGTGTGTGTGTATTCGTGTGCTTGTGTGTGAGAGAGAGAGTTGATGGCTGAATCGCTTAACCTGAACTGCCTCGTCACCGGTCTGTATTCTTCTGGAGCAAAAAGAAAGGGGAGGAGGAAATGCTAATCATTTGCTTGCCCGCCTACCCAATTATTTCAGTGTCCAGCACTGAAGCAATGAGCCTCCTTCCTTCTTCTCAAAGCTTCATATGAGCCAATTGGTGCGTTGCACCTCCCTCTCTCAGCAAAGAATAAAGATTGCCCACTAATAAACCCAGACATTGTCTCCCATCCCAAGCCTGTCTGTGCCACTCTTGAAAAATCAGGGACTGATCACTGCCTGCTTACGTACACACCTGCTTTTCTGTCACCCATTACTCTGACCTGAAGGAATGACAAGTGTCCGCAGGCTTGATTTTTGACAGGTGGGATTCATTGTTGTAAGCCGCCCCGAGGATCTGGCGAATGGGGCGGCATAAAAATGTTTTAATAAATAAAATAAATAAAATTGTCCATCCTGCACAGGGAATCTGATGAGCCAAGACATAGTAGTTCTTTAATGCTGCTGTTGGGGTGGGAACAGAAGGAACATTTAAATAGTCACAAGAAATGTATTTTTATTTTTTAAAGTGTGCTGCCTTCCTTGGAATTGTCCAGTTCACATTCTCCTCCTCCTCCTTTCTTTTTCCCCCTTAATTTATTGAAAAAGAAATAAACTTTTTGAAATTTCGAAGAAAACAGCCTTGTAAATTGTTGATTTTATGCGTGAGATATACCTATGATCAAAATGCCTTATAGGACCTATTGCAGTTCATTAATTCCTTGGTGATAGAGCAATGAGTCAGGCACTCCCAACATGACAACAGTGCTATAGAAACTTTAACCACACCTTGAGCTTTGATATGTCATCTGTGAACTTGTTGAAAGAACCACAAGAGGGTTCTACTGCTGTTAGCCCAAAATAACCAGTGGGGTCAGCCCTAAAGCTGATCTTCCTAAATAAACTTTCCAAAACCCATGGTAGTATAATAACTTTATTAAACCAGTCAAAATATCAGCAATTTTGTTGTTAGCTTTCAAGATCTCCAGTTCTCTGGATAAGGCAAGCTCTTATACTATGCAAGTTAAGGTTGTTGGAGTGGGGGATGATTTGTTGAAGTCATCATATCAGCAGTATAAGCCAGTGGTTCCAATATCAGCGAGACTGTGTATCCACTCTGGGCTACAGTCTGAAATTTAAGGAGCTAATCAGCATCATGGTTAGCTGGAAAGGGAAAATATCCTGCAGTGCCCAGTTAATTCAGGGCAACTACACGTCTTAGACTATACCCCAAAATACTCTGCAACATGTAGAGAGTTCTTTGGCATGAAATTGCCAGGAAAGTGTTCTGTTGAGGTAGAAAGTCTGAAAACTCAACTCTGTCCGTGGACTGTGCAGAATTCTTCAGATGTGCCAAAGGAGAACGCTGTCCAATGTACTGAAATGACTGGATGCAAATACACGGACATATATTTTGTTGGCACACTGGTCACGGAAGCAATCAAGCTAGTAACTTGCCAGGTTGCAGAATTTACTTAAATTGACCCAGAACTGTTTGGAACTTCATGGGGTGAAGCCAAGACTAGAACTAACCTATTTCCTGTCTTTCTGATCTGACCCTCTCTGATGACTTTTTGGTTTTAAAATTATACCACTTAAAACTCTTGCAAAGGATAGGAATATGTGGTCTTTCTGATATTGTTGGATTGCAGTTCCTGTTAGCCTGACAAAAAAGGTTAATTTTGCCACCAGAGACTGAAGAAGCTACTTCAGTCTGAAGATGGGTAATTTGATCTGGAATAATGGAATGGTCTGAGTGAGGGGTTTGGGGAAACTTCCAAGAAGAGCCCCTAAAGATGCCAGACATACTTAAGAAGATCTCATATATTCCAAACCACTTGCCCATGGACAAGAAGATGCTGAAAATTTGGTTCTATGCTAATTAATGTTATGGCATTATAATACCTCTAAGATGAAAGCTGGGAAAAATACAGCTGTCTCTTTACAGGTGGTTTCCATAGAGCAGAGCGAGTGTGCAGTGGATTGTGCTTGCACAAATAATGCTACGAGGAAAGGAACAGAGTCAAAGAGCATGCCCAGATGCTCTCCAGGACAAGGGAAATCGCTGTTAGATATCTTGTGTTGCAAATGTGAAAAAAAGAAAGTGTTGCTTGATGTTTGTTGGGCAGGGAAAGACATGACAAGGAGCATGAGTGGTGACTGAGAAGAGGTGTTCGGGCTGATACAACCAAAGACGGCCATGAGTGCAAGGAAGATACACTAGAAAAAAACAGCAAACATGCCCAGATGGTAGACCTTGAGCCACAATTTAGGAAGCGTTTTAAACATTTCATTTAATTCAGAATACTACTTAGGAGTACCTGTCCAAGCCTGAGTGTTTATGTGGCTCATACTTTGCCAGGATTGGAACCATTAGAGTTGATCCAGTGATATTCCTGCTTTTATCTCATCCCATCTTCAACTTAGTATGTCCCAGTAAGTTTTAATACTGTATTTTACCCATAATGACTCTTTGCCAGCAGCAGCAAACATGTTGTTACAACTGGCTAACTTTGGGACAGGCACTGGTGTTCAGCCCAACCCACCTCACAAGGTTGCTGTGAAGATGAAATGGAAGCCACCTTGGGTTCCTTGGAAGAGGAAAAAATGAAGGTCATTTTATAAAATAGTAAACAAAATAAATGCATGGGCTGGATAGATTTTTGAGATGGTGACTGGAAAGTTCAACAAAAGCTAATATGCGGCTCTGTTTAGGCAGGAAACTGGGGAGGAGGGTTACGTGCTTAACTTATTCATCTGAATTGTGTGTGTTGATGACGTTTTGAATAAAAGCGAAGGCGACGGCCAAGTAAATCAGGCTGCATGTGTGCACCGGACAGAGAGAGAGAGAGAGAGAGAGAGACGAAGCCGCCCCCCAGAGAAAGCTTCGCCCTTCTCCCTTCAAAACCAGCAACAGCGTCTCGCCCGTTCACTTTACGCATGCGCGGCTCGCTTCGACTTGGCCCGAGCAGCGCTGCATCGGAGTGGCCCCTCCCACTTGCCGTCCCGACGCTTCTTCTGAAAAATATGATGACATCATCTTTCTGAGCAGTCGAAGCGGAGGAGGAGGGAGGGGGGAATAGTATTCTGAGCATGCTCCTACCAATCAGCGACGCTTGCGGGAGGAGCTGAGCAACCAATGGGAACCAGCCGCTGCGAACGCCAAGGCTTTCCGCCGCCCCGCTCTGGCGGCTGGCTTGTGATGTGCGCCTGCGCATGGGGGGGAAAAAAATTTGAACTGGAGAGCGGTTAAGGTGGAGAGGCTCGTCGCGACAGTTGTCAGGATAGGTGAAAAGGTAGGCCCTGTCGGGGTTTTAAGCGGAGAGGGGGCTGCAGCGGCGGCGGTGGGGCAAGAAGGGGGTCGGTGGGAGTTTTAGATGTTGCTTTAAAAGGGGAGGCGGGTTTTAGGCGCGCAGTTCTGCTCTGGGAGAAAAGGCTCCCAAAAAGCGGAGTGGGGGATGTCGTGAAGTAGGTGCGCTTAGGCGCAGTGAGCTGCGATCTGGTGTAGGTTTGTATGGCGTGGCCTGGCTGGATTTGGGTGCCCTCTCGTCTCCTCTCCTCTGTTCTACTTTCCTTTTTTCTCGGGCCAACACAGCTTGCTTTGTTTCGTGCGTAATACTGCGCTGTCCCTTTATTTTTACATGAAGCTCGGGCCTATTTTCCTCTCGCAAGGAGCCCAAGGCAGTTTACACAGGCGGCCTCCTCTCTATTGTATTTCCATAATTACAGTCTTGCAGGATAGGCTGAGTCGGTGACTAGCCCAAAGTCACCCAGTGAGCTTCTCAGCCAAGTGGGGATTTCAGTCCAGGTCTCCTGAATCCCAGTCCAGCGAGACATTGTCTCTCTTTATGGACAGCCTGGCCTCATTTAGATCTTTTTCTCCCACTGGCCTTCTATTAGGAGAAACTCTCCTGCCAGACTGGGTTAGGAGCCTTGCTAGCGAGCCTGTTTTGTTAACCAGAACTTATCAGTCCTTGTTGGTCAGTTGTGCAATGTGTAGTGGTAAATTCTGAAATTGAGGCACTCATCATAATAGTCCCCATAGCCTCATCTTCGAGGGGCAACAAACTAGTTTCTACAGTTTTCATTTATTCCAGAAAGCAGGTCTTTGGGAAAGCAAATGGGCCTTCATTGTCTATTCAGAACTAACCCACTCCCAAATACTTTACCTTTCCCAGAATATATCATTGCTGGGAAAATTTTTTTCCCTTCAGGTACTATGTGCATTGCAATAAGCACAGAGGGTATTCTGAAGGCAGATGGAGGATAATGGCAGCCTCCCTGCTAATAAAAAAGATTCTGGTGCTGCATCATGAAGAAATTTAATAGGGACAGGTGCCAGGTTCTGCACCTAGGGGAAAAAACCAGATACCATGTTACAAGATAGGAGATAATTGACTCAATAATACTGCAAGTGAGAAGGATCTTGGAACTGTTTTAGATCACAAGCTGAATATGAGTCAACAGTGTGATGTGGCTGCAAAAAGAGCCAATGCTATTCTGGGCTACATTAATAGAAATATTACTTCCAAATCTCATGAAGTAGTACGTCTGCGCTACCCAGTACTGGTTAGCTCTCATCTGGAGTACTGTATCTGGTTCTGGTCACCATATTTTAAGAAATATGCAGACAAGCTGGAAAAGGTTCAGAGAAGGGCAACAAGGATGATCTGGGCACTAAAAACAAACCCCTAGGAGGAGAGATTGAAATAATTGGGCATATGAGAAGAGAAGGCTAAGGAGAGCCAGGATAGCACCCTTCAAGGACTTGAAATGTTGTCACACAGAGGAAGGCCAGAATCTCTTCTTGATAATCCCAGAGTGCAGGACATGGAATAACAGGCTCAAGTAACAGGAAGCCATAATCTGGCTGATCATCAGGAAGAACTTCTTGACTTTTAGAGCAGTACAATAAGGAAACCAATGACCTGTATCTGTTGTAAGCTCTCCCACACAGGAGACATTCAAGAGGCTGCTGGACAGCCATCTGAGTGTAGTGGTTTAACTTGGGGGTCCTGCACTGAGCAGGAAGTTGGACCCAATGGCCCTTTTTGCCCCTTCCAACTCTTGGTTTGTGTTTTATTCAAGTTGTTTACTGTCCCACTGTGACTTATTTTAAAACTTATGCTATCAAGTTGTCTCTGGTTATGGGTCAGATATGACTGAATGGTTGACAATGACAACAATGAATAAAAGCCCTCCAAAATTTCCTATCCATAACATCTCTGGGTTTCTATATGGAGTCAGCCCACCTCTTATTTAGTCTTCCTTTTCTTCTTCTGTTTTTGACTTTTCCTAGCATGATTGTCTTCTCCAAGGAGTCTTGTCTTATGATGTGATTTTAAAACTTAAGTTAACAATAAGCAGTTTAAATAATAAATTAAAGAAAACATGTATGTTTTGTAAAACGCCTTGGAGATATTTTGTCAGACAGAATGTAGCAAACATAGGTACTTTCAATGTAACAAACTTTGTAGTATTCAGTTATGCAGTTATTGCTATTTGGCTTATTTGTATGGGCTTATTTGTCATAGCCTATTTGCTTTTGTTGTGGTTTCACCCCTCTGTTTACAGTTTTTTCCCCCTCATCCATCTATTTGTATATCAACTGAGGATAACACTTTCTCTTTTATATAGTAGACATTAATCCATGAAAGCTTATGCTAGCCTTCTCCTACAGTATGGTACCCTCCAGATATTTTGGACTACATCTCGCAGCATTCCCGACAGCCTTCATAACCTTCACTTCCAACCCTCCTTTGGACAGAAGAACAAGACCTCTGTATACATCCACAAGGTCTTTATCCATCTAAAGGAGATTTTATACATTCCTTGGGGATGCTGTGACTTCAGCAGTGATGTGGGGCTGAACATTTTCCAATGCTATATTATTCCAAGGAAAAATGTCCACACCATGTATGTCTGCATTCATTCATAATTGTCTAGCTGCAATCATGTTAGCATAGAAGTCCATGCCCTATATTTAGCTCATCTAAGGCAAGCATGGACAAACTCTTGTGCTCAGGTGCTCATGGGGAGACTAAAAAATAAGGTATAAAAACCCCTTCTAATGCACAGTCCAGTTTACTCTGGGCTGGCTCTGGACCAGAGTTATACATAATGTATTTGATCCTTGTTGCTAACATTCTTCAGTAACAAATTAAAGGAAACTGAGATTAAAACTTTTGAAAGAAATTTGAAACTAACTTCTCTTGAGCTTTGGAAATTAGAAGTATTTGCATCTACTGCTTATGGCTACTCTGAGCTAAATTGTATTGCCCAAAATACAAGAAGACTAACGTGTAGTATGACTACACTAAATATTGTGGCCAGGAGTATGTTAACAATGCAACAAAAATGATGACGCATTCAACATTTAGAAACCGTTCTGATAAAATACAAGGCTCATGCAGAAAGTCATTACAAAGAAGCAGTGGAACTCATTATTTAGAGCACTGGAAAATTTTCCAGTTCTGCTTTTTCTGCAAAACCCACATCACTGGACTCCTGGCCCTGTATACCACGATTACAAGTTCATTGGAATAATTGAGGTGCTTAGAATGACTTTTCTTTTCTTACAGGTAGCTCTCTGTTAATTTGACGCATCAACTGTGTACATTGTTGGAAAAATGGTTAATACTGGCAAATGAAAATAACTGGACTAGTCTTATACTTCTTTCCTTGGAATCAAAAAGAATGAAGAAAGGCATAAATGAGAAGCCAGAGAAAAATCGGCCAGTTAAATATAGCAAACAAACTGATCTCTCTGCATGTGCAGTAAGTAGCACAAAGAGCGTGGGCAGCAAAAGTACACAGAAACACGGAGATCAGCAGCTATCCGCTGGTGAGGACTGCAGCCAAGAGCCCCTTGAAGAAGCTTTGTGCTATTTGGAGAAAAGTAAGAACCGAAAGAAGGCTAAGTGTTTATCCACCCTATGGCTAGCACCATCCTATGGCCCCTAGAAAGAGCCTGAGGAAATAAAAGAGTGGGAATTCTCCCCCTCACCTCAAAGTAGGAAACTCTGACCTTGGAAAAGGGAGTTTGAGATCTGATCCTTTGTGGTTGATGCCCAAAAAACATGCCAACTGCCATTCAGGGCTGCAAAATGGACCTTGGAGAGAAGGTTGCTGCTTCATTCTATTTTGGCCCGGCCCTATTCTCTCAGGAACGGAGTAGCAACCAAAAATATTTATGACTGGTAGCAGTGCAGTCTAGCAGTTACTGGGCAGACCAGACTAGTCTGTGTTCATCAGAATGCTTATATCCAGGGCTTTTTTTGTCATAGAACGCACCGGAACAGCGTTCCGGCACCTTTTTTTCAATGGATTTTACGAAGTGATTTTGGCGTAGCAGATCAGCAGCAAACATTATTAACATAGTGCCTGCAGGCCGCTGCTCAGGCCTCTGCTCTGTTCCCTTGGGATTGATGTGCGTGCTTACTGCCTGTGGCGAAGTGAGTTCCGGCACTTTTTTTTTTTTTTTTTACAAAAAAAGCACTGCTTATATCTAATAAGTTGGAAATGTTCATAGTTGAGAAATGATTGTACCTGTTCTTCATTTGTATAGAAAAGCCTATATCTGGCAGAGGCATTAATTCATAAAGGCCTAATATACTTATATTGAAATATTTTAATATTAGCCTAGTTATTATTCAAGAGAAATTCACAATTATACTATTTATAAAGCAAAAATGGTAATTTTTATTTTATAAACATATCTATCCATCCTGTTTAAAATCATGTTTTATGTCCTCTGCTTTGTTTAGAGTCATGGACAAAAGCAGGATGAATGTCTTGATCTTAGTATGCCATTAAGAGAATTGTGTATTTCTAATAACCACAGCATCTTTGTGGGCAAACACAATAAATTTTTGCAAATGTTATAATACTACAGTGGGGATGCCTTGTCAACAGAAAAGCTTGTTTTGGTAGGGGAAAGATTTTGGTGTTGCAGGTTTACAGTATACCAAGCCATCACACATGTGTCCTGAGATGCAACCCATGAGAATAATATTTATTGTATAATTCAATCTTTGCACATTTTCACCTTTTCCAGTTAAAAATCGCATTCCTCTGAAGAATGAAGTTTTGCAGGTACACTTGATGACTGTTGAAACGATTGCCCAGGAGAAAGGATTGACACCTGAAGCAATTGACAGCGTGTTGAACATAGCACTCAGTGGCAAATTTGGTAAACAAATTTATATTCTTGTTCCTGTCCTCACTCTCTGGCACTCAAGAGTGTATAAGAACAGCTGCCTTGCCAACTCTTATGACAGCAGCTACTAGCTTGTGATGCATTATCAGTAGATAAGATAGTCTGGAAATTTAAGTATTATGTCTCACATGTCTTCCAGCTGAAGCAGTAAATACTCGACTACTGAAGAATTTGATTCCTTCTTCAGCAATAAGAGAGGATTCTATCATTTCAGCTGTGTCGTGGCTCTGTGTTGGGAAATGTTCTCGGAATACTCAGGTAACTTGGCAAGCACAGTGATGATAATGGCCTGGCTCTTAGCGTTTATATTCTTTCTGGTCTGGCTTATCCTAGTGACTATATGTTTTATTTAATATTTATTTTCTATACTGCCCCACAGCCAAAGCTCTCTGGGAGATTTACAACAACGTATAAAAACAGACAGTAAAGGTGCAATAAAAACATCATAAAACCAGGAAAAATGTTAGTAAGTTTAAAACTGCTAAAAACAGACAATGGCAAAGATGCAAAACACCTGAGATGAGTAATCCCCCTCAAGCCCTAGGTGGTCAAGCAACTCTTTAAAGGACTCAGAGAAGAAGGCTGTCTTAAGCTGGTGCTGAAAAGATGACAATTTTGGCACCGGCCGGGAAGCAGTGAGGAGGTTGTTCTATAGATGAGGCCGCCACACCTCCCTCTTGTTGCTGCCTTCTGTGCTTCCCTCAGAACTTGCACTTGGAAGAAGGCCCCAGAGGCTCAGCACAGTGTATCCTTCTCTGCTCCGAACACACTCCATGACAGCTGTGTTGCATGGCTTACTGAAGTTTCTGTATTTTCCCTGTTAGGTGATCTTCTTAAAATGGCTAATTGCAATGTTTGACTTCATTGATCAGAAGGAAAAGATCAATGCCCTCTATGGCTGCTTCTTCAGCTTTTTGCAAGATGAGAAACTGGTAAGATGAGATCTTACTCTGTCTGATACTGTGTAATATCTCAGGACAGAGAGTGTGTAATGCTTAGAGTACTGGACTGGGACTTGCAAGCTGCAAGTTCTAGTCCCACTTGACTGTGGACCTCACTGTGTGACTTTGGGCCAACTGCTGGCTTTCACTCCAACCTACCTTGCAGAGTTGTGTGAATAAAATGGAGAGGAAGGTTGTGTAAGACGCTTAGGGTTCCTTGAAGAAAAAAGGCAGAATATAAATATGATAACTAAATAAATCTTGATGACAGTCTTGAAAACCCTGCTCTTGAATTGCCCTGCAAGTAACATAGGTGTCTTCCTGCTTCTAATATGCAGCTGTATCATAGCTGAACAATAGATGAGTATTCTTCTAAAACGGTGCTTTTTCACAAGTTGTCTTGGGCAAAGTTCAAATGTTTAAATGCCATTTTGCCCCGAAGTTATGCTAGTAAGATTTGCTGAGTTAAATGCCATCTGCTGTTATGTTTGTGTGGGGATGGTCTGTATAGAGTTTGCCAAATTAACTGCTTTTGTTCAATACTTCTCTTTCTGCAGCTTCCCTTTGTTTGCCATGTGCTTTATTTGCTGACCAGAAGAGAGAATGGTATGATCTTATTTGGAATGTTGCTCTATGTTATGTGCTTGCAAAAAGTATCCTTTAAAAAAATCTTTTCCTTCCTGAGAGGCTTTTCTGTTTGAATAGCTAATCCTTTTTTCATAATTTGGGGTCCAGTCTTTTGACTTGAATTACCTGTAAAATTTCCATCAAAGATTTGTAACCAAAAAATGTTTTATTCCTTCAGTATTCGAGCTGACTTTGTGCACATTCTATTTGCTGTCCTGGTCTTATTTCTAATCTGCTGTTTTGCTTAGGAAAAATATCACTTTACTGTTTTACCTATACCAACTAGAGTCATATACAAAAGTCAGAGTATAAACTTGTAAAATAAGGAATCATTATAGATCTTCATTTGCTTGCCTTTTCCCCAGTGAAACCTTTTCGTGTGAGGAAGCTCCTAGATCTACAAGCCAGGATGGTAAGCTGCTTGAAATTTAAGTCAAGGCACAATTCAGTTTATAAAACCTTTTAGAATCCATGAATCCATAGAAAAATGCCCTGCATTAAAACTATTATATATTATTGCACCCCGCCGTCTAACCTATGCACATGCACACAGAAGTACCATGGAATTTTATTAATATTATTGTTTGTTTTATTAGTGAACAGAGCTTTGCTGTTTCCAATAGAGTAGATTTCATATTTTCCTAGCTGTTATACTTGGACATGACAGGAGTAGAACATCTAACTCCCTTCTGATTTCCATCCAGGGAGCAGAACCTCCTCTTCAAGCTTTGCTATCAATGTACAAGAGCTTTGCTCCTGAAATGGTGTCTGTAACTCTGCCTACAAATGCAAAGGTAAGAAATACAGTGACTGGGAATGAGGACTGTAGTGCATGAGCCGACTGTGTAAAAAAAAACTTAAGTTGGAGTTCTGTGTGGCCAAGAGCAATTGATTGACTGGGGATTGACATGGACATAGCTGCATTCATGTGTATTTGCATGTCAGGCTGCTTAATAAGACTTTAAGGGAAAGCCAAGATCACCGTGTGACCTTCACAATTGCCACAATTGAATGGCTGCATTTGTTGTAATGACTCAACTGTCTCAAACTGACTCAAACATGGTTTTAGAATTCCATCCTGTTTGGTCTACATTGGGCATATGTTGAATAATATTGAAGATGGAGCCATTTATTGAGTAGCATCTATTCAAGACCATCTCAGTCTTTATGTTCAGGCTCGTGCAACCCAACAAGTTATGGCACATGACTGCATATTAAAAGAGCTGCTGGCACACATCTCAGAACCCCACCAATGAATTAACCCATGGTGATTTAACATGATATCTGAACCAGGTCCCCATGTAGTCTCTTTGAGCTGCTCATAGTTAACAAACCATAGTGTGTGAGTGTGCTTGAGTGCACACACTTTGGTTCCACAAGTCAGTTCAATGACAACCCATACGTGCTCTAGCATGTTGTGTCGGCTGAATGCAACCAAAATATAGAAAGTTTTATTAAATCAACTCACTGGCAGATGTCCATTGTTGGCTATCAGGTTAAGGAGATGAAAAGGCTGCTTTGACCCCATGGTTTCAATGCAAATTGCCTGCAGGATGTTGTGACTGTGGCAAATATTATTACCCATTGCAAATGCAGTCTAAATCCTTATCTTTTTATTTGTGGTTAAATTAACTTTTGATCTCCTCCTCCCACAAAAAGATACGGTTTAGGAATTCAGAGAACATGTGGAAAACAGCAATCAGCAATGTAAAACGCCGAATCTATGGAATGCCTACATCCCAGCCAAATTTAGTAGGCACTGGTTGTGTCCAGGCCCAGAAAAGAGTAAGTTATTGGAGAATTCTTGAATGAAGTTATTGGACTATATCTGCTACCTTTTTGCATGAAAATTATTTATTATTCGCAGCTAGTTAGTTTCCCAGACCATATTAGCCTGCCAAACCACACTGTGTCTGCACTAGCAACAGAAATGCCCTATATTTCAGGCCATCTTCTTTCCTGCCCCTCTCTTCCATTGTTTTTACATTTGAATCTGCTCACAGTCCTGAAAGTCTTATCATTGTTTTCTCACATGTTTTTGCCCTGCTAAATGGTTAAGCATGTGCCATCTTAAAGCTTTCCAGCACTCTGGCAGCTTCACTGTCTGACTCCTGTACATTCCCTGCATGTGTCTGCATGGGAAAGTTAACTTGACAAGCAATAGTTGTGTTTTACATGGTATGCCTTTATTTATACCTCCAGAAGCCTAATATTTTGTTTATTGGGTTCCAGTCCATCACAAACAGATTTGAAAAGGACACAACTTTTGATTAAACAGGGTGGATTTGACCTTCCTCACTTATTATCATCAGGTCTATGGGTTGCCTTGCTCTAGATTTTGTTTTTTTCCATTCAGATTAGTTTGTTGTAGGCATAATCCGCAATAGATAAATACATGAATATTTGGGCTGCCTTTGTTGAAGTCTATCCATGATTATTTTAATAATATAAGTATTTCCTCTTATCTATTGAAATGTAGATAGATATAATGGATATGTTACTATGTTTTGTTTTTTTTCAGTTTTGTTTAAAACTTGTAATGTTTAGTTCATTTTATTCTTTTTCCCATTCGCAAAAAGCCTCGGGGCGGCTAACAACATAAACAATTATATAATTAGCCTTAAAAATCCGGAAACATCTCGGCATGTACATAAAAACCCAATAAATACAATCAATAAATTAACAATTGAAATAACTTTTAAATAAAAAGGTCTTGGCCTGGCTCCAAAAAACAAGTAACGACGGTGTCAGGCGGACCTCTCTGGGGAGTGCATTCCATAGGTGGGGTGCCACCGCAGAGAAGGCCCTCCTCCGGGTACTCATCCTCCTAATATCTTTCACGGAGGGCTCCCAGAGAAGGGCCTCTGCTGCAAATCTCAAGGGGCGGGAGGGCATATATGGACGCAAGTGCTCCTTTAGATAACCAAGTCCCAAGCCGTTGACTTAAAAGTACTTAAATGCATTTATCTTCTTTTATGAAGCTTAGGATAGCTTACATGAATTGTTCAGTATTCTCCCGTAGAGACATCAGTTGAATCCACCTTATTATATCATTAGATGCTATCAAACATTGAATCTAAATTGGCAGCAACATGTAACACAAACTTTGCCATAGCTTTTTCTGCTTAGATTCAGCACTAAACACGTAGCCTTACAAAAAGATTGTAAGGGTAGGATGCTGATTGAATTTGGGGTCAGGATTGACGCCGCTGGTATAATCTGGAAACAGGACTATGCGCTACATGTAGTGTTGACTTTCTTGTTTTCTGTACAGAAATGGAATGTGAAGTTGGCACTGCCTGTGTGCAGCAGCAAATCTGGTTACTCAAATGATAGCCAAAAGTCTGACTACACCTATCTCACTCACACCAAATTCTTCCCAGTTGAGCAGTTGCGGACTTTTCCCCAGCTTTTGCAGAACATCCGTTGTTTAGAGGTAAGTGGCACTCGTCAAACTGACTAAGTGTATGCATGGTTGGGAGCAAATTATATTCAGTTCTCCTATTTTCTTAATTTTCCTATCTTGTGAAAAGCAGTTACACGTTTGAGGAAATGTATCTGTGCATATTTTAAACTTTGAGGGTTATGGCTTCAGGTCCCCAGGTAAGTTAGCAAAGTGGATTTCTAATTAGTATGAATAAACTTGTGCCACAAACTATGTTGTTCATCAATATGCTAAATGCTGTATACAGATTCAAAAGAAGACAGTCCCTGACTTCACGCTTATAATCTTCCCTACTTCTACCTTGTTTTGTACTTGAACCCCAAGATTTACCAACTGAAGCCTGGTGCAAACAACAGAGCACTGGAATTAAAGATTCTGAACATAATTTCCTTTTAGTACCAGAACTGAACTAAGTTAGTTCTGTGTAAAATTCCATTTTATTTTCATGTAAAATTCCCTCCTAGTTAGCCAAGCTTTCTTCATCTTGGTAGTATAATTTACAAATGCAGGGGGAAGGAGCCACTGACCTGACTCCTGGTTTTGCAGGATTGCAGGGTGGTTAATAAACTCTGGTGATTTGCTAGTCACATGCTGGGGGGATTAGCATAATTCCCCCCTGGCAGCATAGCAAGTTCTGTCGAGTGAATTCAGGACCCGTGGGTTGGTATAGGGTTGTGGGTAGCTTGTCATCCACAGCAACAAGCCGTCCTGACTGGGTTTGCATGACAAGCTGCATTGCCAAGTGTACTGATAACCATTTCCCTGACATTTCTGGCACACACAGCAGGGGAAATACGCTACTGTGTTTATTTCTCCAGGTGTAGCCCTGTGACCTGGGCGATTTTGCTGCTGCAGACACCAAAGGCAGAAATACCTACTGCTTGAATACAAATCCTTCATAGGCCTACCTTCTGCTCTGAATGATACAGCACAAGGGAAAAGGGACTGAATTCTTGATACTTTTTAAAGTTAAAATGTTTGCAATAATTACTAAAATAGAATTAGTTCAGGCAAGGATTGAATTAAAAGGCATCTGGTCCCTCAGCAGAGCTAATGGAGAGAGCATCGCTGTCCTGTCTGTTCCTCTGCTACAGCCAGATAGAATGGCTGCTAATAGAGGAGATGGGCAGGTAGCAGACATTGGCTGGGCTGGTGTAGTAGCTAAAAGTTCTGCTTGCTCTTGATGAAATGACAATATTGGTGCAACAGTTTCTGTAGCTAGAAGTGAAAATTACTTTGCTTCTGCAAAGGATACAAGGGGCTGTTGGCAGCAAGGGTATGGTCAGGCAAAGGAGAATTGCTGGAGTAAGAAGCTGCGTGTTGAGAAGGTGTGGTTTGAGGTGTATGAATTTAACATAGATTGGAGCTAACCTGTTCAGCTAAGGAATTTCTAAGATAAGCTTTTATCCCTTAGCAGCTATGACTGATCTGTAGTAGGAATGCTTTTTACATAGTGCACGCATGTATTTTCCCAAGGGTCTTGACCCTCTGAATGCAAGAAACAAGAGAGCTTTGGTTCTGTGTTGTCTTTGTATGCTGTTGTCTTAACCGTTTCTTCTCGTGGGTTCTTCTACAGCTTCCTTCCCGAATTGGTTCAATCTTAGGAAGCCCTCTGTTGCTCCACTACATCAACTGTGTCAAAGATGACTCCATTTATCAGAGGATGTATTACTGGATGGGCCAAACATTCAGAGAAGGTAAGCATTCAGAAAAGGTTGAGATCTTGAAGAAGAAATTTAATGCCTTTGTTGGCATGAAAGGTTTTGGCTAAGATCTGCTTCTCACAGGGGTAATTTTGTGTCTGGGTTGTATCACTTCTGGTGAGGCCTCAATTGATTATCTCTCCACATCATAGCAAAACAATTTTCAGGAAGAAAAATTCATGATATCAAGTTTTCTATACTTAATACAGAAGTATTTTATCATATGTGCCCCTACCACTGCAATTTAACATGGTACAGCTCACAAAGACATTACCATCTCAGTGGGCCTAAATAGTGGCCAGGGCATAATGGTAGGTATAGACCATACACAGATAAACAAAAATGGGGTAAGCAGTGAAGAAGGACATTATATTTAACCATTGTTAACCCCTTTCTCTCATCATGATGCAGAATGCCCTTGGTATAAGATTGAAAACCAGCAATATGAACTTGAATTTAAAGACTTCTTGGAGAATGTCTTGGAAGCAGAGAGTTTCTTGCAGGTTAGTTTGCATATGATTCTCATCCCATCATTTCCTAGATGACATTCTGGCCGTCATTGCCATTAGTATCTCAGTTAAGTTGTCTGACATGAGCAGTAGCTATCTGTGGTTGAAAGTTGATGTTTCTAAGTTTTGTTCCTGTCTCCCTCCACCACTGTCCCAGCCCTTGGCTAAGCTATCAAAATTCCATTAAGTCATATTGCTGTGAAAATTGCATGATGTAAGGTTTCCTTCTCATAGAACACTTCTTTTTTATTATATTTACATCCTGCCTTTTTTCCTTTCAAGGAACTTGAGGTGGCTTACATAATTCTCCTCCTCTCAATCTTATCCTCACAGCAACAGTCCTGTGAGGTAGGTTGGGCTGACAGCCTGTGACTGGCCCAAAGTCACCCAGTTGGCTCCATGGCTGAGTGGGGACTAGAACCCAGGTTGTCTGAGTCCCAGTCCCATGCTCTTAAGCACTACACCACTCTTTAACCATATATATTTGCTTGGGCTGGCTATAAGTTGTTTTTTCTAAACTAAAGCCTCATTTTTCAGGTTTCATTGCAGTGTTGGCACTTTGCGATAGATAGGTGGGTTTTGGGTTGCAGTTTGGGCACTCGGTCTCTACAAGGTTCGCCATCACTGCTCTAGAATCTGCAGACTTCTTCTCATGCTCAGCTTGGTCCTGTGAAGCGAGCTGAGGCGAAAGGAAGTCCATGAGCACCCACAGCCCCCTGGTTTGTAACTGGCCACATTCCTCAGCCTGCTTTCCCGGTGACCAGCCTTCTTCCCTGCTCACTGCCACAGCGATGGCACATGCAGAAAAGGAGTGCAGCAAGCAGGAGAGCCAGCCTGGTGTCGTGCTTGCTATCCCTGGCAGCAGGGGCAGGTGTGGGAGAAGGGCACTGCTTGCGCAGCGTGTGGGACCTGGTTTCTGGGCCAGCATCCTGTGAACCGAGTGCCTGTGCTCCCCAGGCGCTCGGACTCTACGCTGCTACAAGGCAAGCCAGTGTCTAGGAAGTCAAAAGGGAATCTGGTGGATTTTCTGCACCGCAAGGATTCCTCACACATCCCTATTCCAAAAGGGTGTAGAAGAGGTCCAAATAAATAATTTCTGTTTTTCTCTGGGATGGGGAAATATTCATCAGGTAGAGTGCATATAAGGGGCTGGCTTACAGTCGCAGTTGTGCCTTTCAGGAAGGCTTCTCATCCTGTGAGGAATTCTTGTACAGGAGCCTGCCGTTCTGGGATGGCTGCTGCTGTCAGTCACAGGTTCTGCAGCTGGTGAGCTGGATCCCCCTTAGCACTTTCTCAGGTATGTGATGCCGCCTATCCAGTTTTATCCTGTTTTGTGAACTTGACTGATAGGCTTACTTTCAGAGTCACTGCTCCTTTCTTCCTTTGCTTTCAGAAATGAAGCCTTATCTCTGCAAGCCATTGACACAGCTTTTCCTCACCTCATCCATTTATTTTAAGGTAATGGAGGGGAAAGGGCCAGTGAGTGTCTTTCTTGTGTAAAAGGTAGCAGATTTCATCCCTGGCCCATTAACAAGATCTTATTGTCACTGGCAGTGATTTCCTGGGACACGAAAGAGCTGGGTTCAATGCTGCTAATGCCTGGGCCAAAGTACAGGACTTATTGAGTGTGCTAGGAGGCAGAGCATTGCTGCAGGTCTGAAGTGCGGTTGATCCACGGTTCATTTTTCTCTTCCCCTTCTTTAGTGTGGTGTTCTTGAAAGCCTGAGGGAGCTGTTACTGAACTGGCTAAACTGGCACATTATGCAAGCAGACACGGCAACAGGGTTGAATGCAGATACCTTGTAAGTATCTTGAAAAAGTCTGTACAAAAAGGTCGAGCACATCGTTGAACATCAGCTAGTCAGGCCCCTCACATGGATGCAGTTGTTGCCCTCTTAATAGATGCCTAATAGGATATCGGTATGCCTAATAGCCTGTATCTTGTCCTGATGCAGAAACACCACCTTTTCTGGCCTGGTCAACTCTGTGGCAGAATTCATCCACTTTGTAGGCTGGCTCTCAACTCTGGCTCTGCGCTTAGAGAAGAACTCTGCGTTCTTGATGCACTTCATCCTGGATTTCTATGAGATAGTATGTAAACTTTTTGTACTGCAAGTCTGTTCACTTTCACCAGCTTAGGATGATGAGAGTTACAGTCTATATACTGGGAGGGCATCATTGTGGTTGACAGTCCTTGGCAAATCTAATGTAGTGATGAGAGACTTGTGGCCCTCCAGATGTTTCGGTCTGTACTCTCATTGGCCTTAGTCAGCACAGCCAACAGGGAGAAGAGCTGTAAACGAAACATCTGGTGGGCTACAGTTTCCCTTTCCCTTCTCTTGTAGGTGTGTGACGTATATCAGAAATTCAACCTGCCATTGGTTGTGATGCCTCCTGCTGGAGTCTTTTATCCAGCATTGCTCAGCATGGACTGTGTTACAGTTGACCGTCTCTGCCATATTATGTACAGGTATCGATAGGGTCACATTTTTCCTATCTTTGGATTTTTCTTTCAAGACCTTATTGGGATGTCCATAATCGCTTGTGTTTTGGATTACCTTTGCCAGTTCAGTCTTCCTGCTTCTGATCTTTAGCATATTTTTATCAAGCCTCATAACTCTCTCTCTCTCCCCCCAACACCCTCCCTCCCCAACACCCTCCCTCCCCCAACACCCTCCCACTAGTTGGTTCTCCAAACAGGAATCATGCTACTGCAAATACATATACAGTACCCAGCTTACTGTTTAGATCTAGGGAAATGTTAAAGGATAGAACTAGCTGGAGGTTTGAGCTGCTGCTGAGAAATTTCACAGTCGATTCCTCTAGGCTTCCTTTAGCAGGTGGAATGTACTGCATGCGGTCCTGCAGTTGAACGGTGAGGAAGTAATTCTTATGGTCGGTGGAGGCAGGCCTCAGTCCAGCATTATGTCAACACACAGTTCAGGGTTTAAATTCAAACTCTTCTTCCTCACTCAGCAATCCTCCTTCATATGATCAGGGCTTTAATGCACATTTACAGCACCATCTAATATATATCTACTGAAAATCAGTTCAGTTCAGTTGGGCTTTCTGCAATGAGGGTGGGGGAGGGAGAGTGAGTGAGTGTAAATACAGATTCACCTTGCTTGTGACTTGCTTTCACATGTTTTCTGGGCAGATAACCATCATTCACTTAACTGTGTGACACACTAGTGAAGCTGTTGTAACTCATTCGAAGTTCATCTATAATCAGATGTCTTAATTCAGAGTCTAAAACTGAAGATGTATATTTGGCTGCCTTTTTTCTTCTTGTGAGGAACTCACGATAACTTAAATAGTTCCACTTTATCATCACAGAAACAACCCTGTGAGCTAGGTCAGGCTGAGACTCTGTGAAAGTCAGTGACCTTCATGGCTAACAGAGACTAGAATCTGAATCGTCCAGATCCCCGGTCCAACAATCTAACCACCACACCACACTTGGCTCTGTACATATCTCCTTTTGTTTCTGTTTTAGGTATCGGACCAACTTGATAGCTGCAAAGCAAAATCAAAAGGCTAAAAAGGTACCATAAATAGAAAGACAAATAATGTTCTATGTTTGGAGTGAAACCAAGTTATTCATTGGTTCCTTCCTCTGATATTCACTATTATCCCACTGACACTCTTTTAACAATTGATTTTGTCTACCTTTCAGATCTTTTCTGTTTGACATGCTCTTAAAATCCGATAGGCTATTTTCTTTTTCCTAAAAAAATTCCTAGCCTGCATCCCTTCTCCCTTCAATAATCTATGACTGGAATGGAATGAGTCTCACATTTTTTTTGTTACGAACTTCATTTTAACTGGACATTCTCTGTACTGCATGTCTACCTAAATTTTCTTTTTTCCTTTATTTAACCTGAAATATCATAGAAGTCTGTATCACAGAGGTTTAATATATATTTACTCATATCAAAAATGAGCTTTCTTATGATTCTGATTTGCACCTTCTCATTATCATTTGCACACTCCTATCTTTGCCCATGATGTGGCTAGATCTGGGAAAGTGAACTGTAGCCAGACCCAGAACTACTCCTGTGGGATTTTGGACACGGACATTGTGAGAAGGCACAGCAGATAATGCGGATTGGCTGCCAGCCTCCTGCTTTCCTCTAGTAGTGCTATGGTGTTCAGAGTGGGAGCAAGCAGCCTTCAAAGACCCTCCGCATATCGCATGGAGGGCAGAGACGTCCTCTCATGATTTCTGGCAATGTGATGGTTCTGTGTGAGACTCTGAAGACCACCTGGGTAGGGCTAGGAATGAGAGGGTGCCCCCTACACATCAGCGAAATCCCAACCCTAAATCATGATTGATCTTGCACTTGTTTCCGAGCTTTCTGAAACCCCAGATTACTGAAAAGATGGTACGTGCCTAATTTCACTCATGTCAAGCAGTAACATGCTTCGTTCCCTTTTTATTTCCAGCCACAAGTGCCTGGCCACCACAATATCGGGATGGCAAGGCTGTATTTGTCTTAGTGGGCCACAAGCTGGGCAGGGATTTAATGACCATGCAGGCTAGAGTGATGCTTCTCTTTGGGAGGAGATGAAGGGGCCAGTTACTGGCCTGGAATGCTTATAGATTGTCTTCCTGTGTCTTGCCAGACCATGCTGCAATTCAAGTTCAGTAGCCAGACTTGCAAGGAGTACAACCAATACATAACAGCCATAGTCGGGTGCCTGTGGACCTCAAATGTATTCCAGAAAGATAACCACCCTCAAGGGCTCAATGTGGACCAAGCAGTACTAGAGAAGACCAGGGTGCAGGACTACAGAAAGGGCTTGAACATAGTTTACCATCCTGCCCTGACAGGTTATGCTATACTCTTCCTGAAGCAGGTAGGAAGATTTTGTATTTTTTGAGTACTATCATCCCTATATCTTTTAGTATCATTCTACTTAAGACTACTGAATCTTGTGTGAGTGTGTTAATTAGTACTTACTGCGATGTCTTTAAACTTTCCTGTTGCATTCCAGTCATCATCACGATACTGCGTTTATGCCCTACCATATTTCAGAACTCTCTGCAGCATTTATGTATTAGTCCAACTAAGACTGTGCATTGAGATCCTGCTTCTGTTAGGGAGCTTCCTAGAAGTGAAAAGTCCAGGAACCCATATCCTTGCTGCAGTTGCCTTCTGCCTTTGGCAAGTGTGCTAGACTGGCATTTGCTGTTCAGTTCACCAGGTGGTGCTGTCATGCAGAAGATTAACAGATTAGCTGAACACTCTCAAAGCTGTTTTCTCTCCAGGTGACATTGGCATGAGTTAGCTTTTTTGATGGGCTTTCACTTACTGAGTTGCACTGTTCTTCAGAAGCAACCCCCATCTAACTCAACCTGTGTGGGCTCACCTCCAAATATCCACTTTGGATTAGTTTTTTCACAGACATATGACTCGGTCTGGGATTTGATCTCATGGCACAATGCGAAGACTTCATATGCCTGTTTTCGACTCATTAGGATCCAAAATACTTCCTCTTTTGTGGTGATATGCACAAGCCAGTTGGTATTTCAGTAGTATGCCATGTTCACCCAGACCGGTTTTTGAGGCTGTTTTGAAAGTGAATGTGTTCTTAGAATTTACTGACTGATTTACTCTGGTAAAAGGGTTTAATTCAAAGGCCCTTAATTTTGAACATCTTTTATTCCCTTCAGGCAGAATCAGAAGACAAAACCCCAAACTTAAGATTAATACAGGTAAAGTGCCTTCCACTTACTTCAAACTGTGGGAAAGCTGTTCTGTCAGCTGGAGCTGGGTTTGGGGGAAGCCTAAAACGGGGAAAGAGAGGCTAAGAGAAGACCAGGTTGCCATTCCTGAGGTACTGGCATCTTGTTGTGCTCCCAAGTTGTATTTGTATTCGCAGCATGCGTCTATATGAATAGAAATGCTAAGTGGAGAACAGCAGGTGCTGCATCTTTGGACATGGCAAGCACTTGGCCTGAACATTTTCTATTCCTGGACTGCATATGGAGCCTTGCAACAGATGTTGTGGTTTCCTTGCCTGCTAGAGGATCTTCATTAAGACCTGTTTAGTTCCCAGTATTGGTTTGAAGATAACATTTCAGAGGGTGAGGTAGCTAGCATGCTTGGGTACATAGTGCCAATAAGTGATGGGGAGTTTCTAGAAAAAGCTGAAATGGAAAATATTCTGATGGCCATAATAGATTGGATTTAAGCATGTTTCATTTATGTGTACTTTTTGTTTTCAATTTACAAGCCCACCATATTTACAAATAAGTACAAACTTTCTTTTTCAAAACTTTGAGAAAGAAGAAGACAAACCCCCAAACTTTAATTAAGAAATCTCTGCTTCACATCACTGATACCAATCTGCAATAAAGGCTTTTTATTTAAGTTTTCTCTTTAACTTTGCTCTGTGGTGCTTTTGTTCTGCCACACAAACATCTTGCTGAAGGGATAGGTGAAGGCATATTTTAATCTTTCTACTGACTCCTATACGAGAAAGAGAAATGCATTTTATAAGCTTCTTGAACAGGTCACATTTGAACTATTTACACATGACGTGTGAAAAGGAAGCAGCACCGGGATGGCAAGGTTTCTGTTACAGCGCAACAGTCACGTAATGGGCATTTCACAGTGGTGTTTGGCCTGCAAGCTGAGGTCCTGGAGTGCTTGCCAAGTAACTGAAAAGATACTGTGTGACAAAAAGCTGCTATAGTTGGTGAATTGTAATGACTCTAACAATTTATCTGCAGGGCAAAAGGTGGGAATGGTACCTGGAATATCTCTACGCGCAAGAGTTACACGGCCTAAAACTCTTCATTGAAAGTAGCATCAGTCGTGTTTCTCAGTCTTCTCTAATGAAAGCAAGCAAATGAATGGAAACAAACTGATTCTTACAGACTCCAACTACCCAAGCTAAAATATTAGATGCTGTTGAACTCCCGTTTATAAGAAGAGTATCTCTCCATATCTTGGCCATTGACACCTTAATGGACAACCCAAGGCTGAACAGCAGGGGTGGAGCTGTATGTTCTTGCCAGTTTGATGGAACTTTCCATCTTTTGGCAAATGGCAGTTTTTAAACTGAAAAGTTTACATGTGCACTCAAGTCAGAAACGGGGCTTACCGAAACATCACTGTTTCAGTTCAGTACTGGAAATACTATGAAAGGTGGGGATTATGGTGACAAACAATTTCCACATTTTGGACAGAAGCAGTATAACCTGTGTAGCACACATACTGTTGGTCTGCGACAGTTGGAACACCTTGGTGTTACATATCATCACAAAACCCCTGCAGCTGTTGCAGTGACTGGCTAAATTCATTTTTCCTGTGTGATTTGTAGCTATGTATATATCTGTATAATATATATTTATAGAACAAAATATGATCTGTAATTTTATGGTTACTGTTTTTATTGTATTAGCACTGAAATTAGATTAAGTACAGGATCTCTTCTGAGGATATAAAGTTTACCTAAAGAACCTGATTGTTTCTTTTCACTGCTAATTCAAATTTTATTTCTTAAGTATGCGCAGCAACATTATCAGAGAACACTTGCAAGCTCTGCCTAAGCCCTTTGGATCCCTACAAAAATGCTTGCAGTTAATAGGGACCATATTCATAGTGAAGCCTACATATCTTATGGTAACAACAACACACGAGTGGTTTACTCAGCGCTGTTGCATGCAGCCATGGATTTGGTAAAGGTTCCAGGGAAAATGGAACTACCCTTCCCACTCCTGTAACATTCATGTCATAACAGCCAGAAGTCAGCAACAACTACAACATAACACGTGTTATAATGTGGCTGCTCCAAGAACCAGTAAGGGTTACAAATACTGCCCAAGGGTTTGGAATGCACATCCTAAGGAACGCTAAAGTAGTGCTCTGATTTTAAAAATGAGATCTGTCCTGATTAGCCTGTTTTTAAACAGATTTTTTCCCTATGTAATCAGAGCTAGTGCTGAATTACTCTAGTAAACTTAACCCTCTATAATGGCTTGCAAAAAGATACAAATTCATGGTAAAAAAAAAAACCCAAGAGAAACAGCAGCAGTGGCGGTTAACTGGCTATGCTATGCTAGTCACAAAGTCATCATGACCCCATGGACAACATTCTTCCAGGCTCTCCTGTCCTCCACCATCCCTCAGAGTCCACCTAAGCTCACACTGACTGCTTCAGTGACTCCATCCAGTCCCCTCATTCTCTGCCGCCCCCTTCTTTTGCCATCTATTGAAGTGTAAAAAAAAAAAAAAAAGATTGTTGTCAACCAGAGGAATGTGTTAGAGCAGGCTGTTTTCCTTTACAAAGTAAGTTTCTAGTCCTCACAACCTGAAGCAACTGGCTCAAAAGCATTGTTGAGGTGTAGCCTTTATTCCCTGGATAGCTCTCTTGCCCTTCTTCACCTTCTCTTCCTGCTTCTCCATTACTTATGTTATCACTGGCCTCCTTGCAATTTCACATTATATAAATTACCCAGTATGTGGTTCAGAATGAATGGTTATATCTTTTATTTCATAAAGTGTTTATATTTGCTTCAAGCTGTTGATTTGGTTCACTGAGCATGCATATTTGGTTCTTCGTGAGCAGCCCTGAGAACAGAACAGCATTTTCTGGTCACCAGCAATACAGGAACAATTTATAATCCAGCACATGCTTTCCCCACACATAATAGATGCTGATAACCCCAGCACCCATCGCTGGAAATCGTGAAGATGCAGTTCTTAGTGCTTAACTGGGGTGGGGGTGGGGGTTCATTATTGCAGTCATGAAGGCATGATTGCTATTCACCTTGTTTTTCTGGGGAAAACACCTTGAGTTTTAGCTTTTGGGGTTCAAGAAGCCACATTCCAGCCAGTTTGTCACTTCACAACCGGATCTTTACGCTGCTGTCATTTGAGAGGTTATAGCTGAAGCTCTGAATCAAAGGTGTGGAACACTTCCCAGAAAACCTTGTTGTTGCACGGTTACCAATTGCTTCTGTGGACTTTGGAGGATGCACAGAAGCCACATCTGCAGAACAGGACCCCACTCCTACAAAGTATGGGACAGCTATTTCTTTTTCCAGTGTTCAGCATGTACACAGATCAGCTGAAAAGTGGTTTAACTCTACCTAAAGACATCTATAAACTGCTTCCAAAGCGGTTAAGCTTCCCTTCTGTTAATTAGAAGCTTTCTTTTTTAATTCCCTTTGAAAAGAGGGAATGGGTACGTCTTCTCATCTTTTATCCTACAGGAGTGTAGCATCGACCTCTTGCTTTGACCTTTCCAATTTGCTTAGCCTTGTCATTTGAAGGGTTTTGACAATTTCTTTTTCCTTGCTTCTTCCTGCTGGAACAGCAAAACTGCTTTCTGTGTGTTCTGGCTCCTCATGTTGGCCTATTTCCTTGTGCCTGTGTTTTGCATCCCTAATGCCATGAATAAATCAGGAGCTGCAGATTTAGAAGGGGGTGCAGCTGGAACCACTTGGAAAAGTGAACTGCTTAAGTGAAGCCTGCCAGTGGGTGACTTCCCAAGGTCTTTTCTTCACTTGCAAAGGGCTGAAGGAACGATCAGAAACTCCAGATCAGACTGACAGCAATTCTCAATTAACTTTAGGGGACTGTCTGGCTAATAACATTTTGTCTCCTTCAGTGTGCAGCTTGTGGCTTGGCTTTGTCACATGTCACTGAGAGCTGCCTGCTTTGTGAAGCAACTTGTGCAGTGCCGGCCTCAGTTCGGTATTCCAAGCCATAACAGGACAAGGCCTGGATGCGGTGGTCATTCTGGGCCTGGGGTGAGACACTTCATAATGTAGCGGGTCATGTGATTCGATGCTCCTCCCGTCACCCAAATCCACCTGCACATAAAAAGCTAACTTGTTAGGGCAATTGTTTGAAGCCTAGTCTTCTCCCTGATAGTTTTCTATGTGCAGGAGGAAAAAATACAGCATACTTAGACGCTCCCAAGTTTGGTCTTGGCTGTCTCTAATGAAAAGGATGGGGTGGCATATGATAACAAAGCTCCCATCTGTCAGGAACCTGGAGAGTTGCTAACCGGGCTAGATAAACAAAATATCCATCTCTGACCATCTTCCTATGTTGCAATATATTTTTCTGCACAAAGTCCCTCTTGCACTACAGCATCAGCTTTAAATGTCATTTGTGCTTCTGAACAAAGTAGGTGTTTGCTAGAATCTAACAATGTGGCATGAGGCTGAAGAGCAGAGAACATGGATTGCTTCTTGTCTCTAGCTTTGAGTATATAACAGTAGTCCTGGCTAGTTTTGTCTGTTCGTGTACTTTTGTCTGACTTCTTCCCATGGTGGCAAACAGGCAAGCTACTCATTAATCTCAGGAGGAAAGCGTCTGTGGGTGGGAGAAAGCTGCAGCAACTTCGATATACTGTGGAGTAAGAGATGGGCTCTTTTATGGATAGTCTTTTCATGCCTTCACAATATTGAATCTAAATACAATTTTTTCCTTTCATTTTTTGTAATGTTCACTCTGGACAGTCACTTCTATCTCGCAGCCTTAGGATCGTGTTAGTCCTTACTCATCTTTACACAGAACCAAGAGTAGTTGCACTTCCTGAGTAAGGACCCATGAAGACATCCTGCTTAATATAACCTGTAATTTCTCAACTTGTATATATCACTAAAATGTGTGTAGCAACTATGAAAAGCAGTAAATGTATAAGTAGGTAATACCTATAATAAATTCCCCTAAATTCTAAAAGATGAAAAGCAAAAAGTTCATTGAGCAGTGATGTGGGCTTTCTGAAAAATGTTGAATTTTTCAGTGGAAAATTAGGTTAATTCATATAGGGTCATTTGCATCAGAAAACTGTCACTTTGCAATTGAAACTTACTAGAAAGTGATTTAATGTATTTATTTGAGTTTGTTTTTGGGTTGTCTGGTTGGCATTTTGCTTAGTCGGAGGTAAATACAGGCAATTTGAGCCCCCCTTTCCATGTTTCAATCTGTTATGTTTCTCCATCACCATCCCTGTAATATTTGACCTCATCACCCCTCTGCATGCACTTGGATACATTCTACTTTCTGCTTTGTCTGATTTCTGCTGACCTTGAAAGAGCACTTTAGTCTTGCACGTTGAGAGAGAATTCACTTCCGAAGCAGATCGTGGAGGGAGCTGAACTACGCCTCTTTGTGCACCCTAAGCCCTGCCCACCTTGGGGAACTCATTTGATTCTCTGTGTGCACAAGCAATTGTGGTCTATTTTGTAAGTCACCTTCATGACTATTTGATCAAAAGGTGGGAGATAAATCTTCTAAATCTTTGGATCCTGCACAAGCTTTTAGAACCTTTCATCCCTGAGCCCGTTTCCTGTTTTTCTCTGGCCTATATGTTGGAGTGGTTCTACTTTACTCAGACCGAGCCACGTAACTCCAGCTGTTTGTTTGCTTTCAATTTTGCCTGTAGGATTTCTATTTGGGGGCAGGGTGAAAAGATTGGGTGGGGGGAGTGAGTATTACTATGGTTTCTTTTATATGTGGTCCACTGGAGAATACAACTGGAGAAATATGTGAACTGATGCACAATGTCCTTCATCTAATTATGATTTTCCAGGACACACGCACACATACGTATGTACGTGTGTGTGTAGTTGCATAATGTTTTTTGCCCGCTGTCATGGAATTAATAGCAACACATTCAGAAAGGAGGACAGACAGCTGTGTGGTGTTCAGTTTACATGTTTTTTTTATCCTATCACATAAGCTGTTTACAATATTTCTGAGGGGCAGAGAGGTCACCCAATTCATTATTATATCATTGATTTGAGGGGAGTTTTATTGCATAATAATATTACAGATGAATAAAACATTTGGAAGGGGAGCATAATTTGTTTTTAACTGATGCATGTGGAGGCTTAGCAAGCACACCTCTGTGTGTGTGTGTGTGTGTGTGTGTGTGTGTGTGTGTGTGTGTGAGAGAGAGAGAGAGAGAGAGAGAGAGAGAGAGAGAGAGAGAGAGAGGCAGGCAGGCAGGCAGGCAGGCAGGCAGGCAGGCAGGCAGGCAGGGGGACGGACAGGCATCTGCTCTCTGCAATCTAGAAGAATTTAAGTATTCTGAGCATGGGTTGCGAGATCAATTGGAGACACACTTTCGGTTGATCAAAAGGTTTTTCATCGAACAATGAAGTATGTGTGGAGTTCTGATATTTGTGTTGCTGCAGGCTTAGCACTTCATTTTCAACACCGGTTTCTTTCCTTTTGGGGAAAAGAGGAAGAAAAGAGTGAGATGCAATTTCCTGCACTCACTCAGATTTTTCTGCATGGACCAATCCCTGTGCTGATTCTTCCCAAACAGGGACTTGGCACCTTTACAGTTGTGTCCTCTTACAGGCAGTTTGGGTCACATTAGTGAGCCTTTTGATGAGCCTATTGGTGTTTCTACAAGTGCTTATTTCAGGCTTTTTACTAACTTCTGCTATTTGTAATGAAGGCAAAAGTCTAA